TCTACAGGCTGTGTAACGTCTTCCTGGTAGACATGACGTGAACATCGCTCATTGATGCTACACGATACTTATACGATACCAGTTGTATGAACACTTTCACAGCGGAACTTATTAATGCGTAGGCTGTGTCCCTGCAATACGACTCAATACGTGATAAACGAAGAATTTGTAAATAGGTTGAACGCAAACTATTGCTGTAAACTAAATATCGAAATCCTCTTGTTAAATACCAATACCTCAGAAACGGAAGTTAATTTTTGTAGAACAAGTAAAGGAATGAATCAGTACACAAGCTAAATATTTGTTGTTGGGTCAAACATCAAACGAATATAATTTGCATCAAGTTACAACAGTACAACTACTAAGTTACAAGTGTACTGTAGTTTTTGCTTATTATTTCTGAATTAAAGTAATACAGAAAATACAGGACACGTAAATATGTACAAACATAGACCTACTGATTGTGTATATATTACGAGTGGTCAATTTTCTTATTTATAATTTTTTATCATAGACAAATGTAACAAACAATTTTGTTTTTATTAAGTGAGTTGTCAACAAACTAAAATATAAGTTAGCAATCAGCAAATGAAGCCCAAAATTTATATTTCAACCAAAAACTGAAACTCGAAAATTTTGACGAAAAAAATTATTTCTCTATAGCTATCTACAGGGGTGGAAAGTAAAACACTACCCGATAATAAGCACAACTATGGCAAAGCTAAGTACTACAGTAAAGTATTGGTACATCCCGTAATCTATAAGTTTAATATTCTTTATGAAACGTTAACTGCCGTGTTTTAACGTTTTCTATCCGACGAACGAGTTGTAAAACAAAAAACAAAGAACAGATCTAAAAAAAAACATGCACATTGTAATCTATTAATATATTTGTTTCTCGTCGATGTTGCTACACAATTATAAGTAAAAGCTGTCAACTGACAAACAAACGCGGAAAAACATGTTATTCTCTAGGATTAGAGAATCTCCTGTTAGCGACCTGACGATAGTTTGGTTGGGTTTCTTCTGTATCAATTCGCACAGTCTGGTGTGTTGTAGTGTAGCTGTCTTTGATTTATCCCAGTACTAGAGTAGATGGATTCCAAACTTTCTACTGTTTGTCTCGTATGCGAATGTGTGCCAGCAAGTGTACAGTGCAGTACCATCGCATTCCCCGACCAAGGACGAGATAGCCACGATCACGTAACCTTTCACCGGCTGCTCTCTGCGCATAGGTTAAAGTTGACGTCCCATCATTACCGTATCACGTCCGGCGACCGGCGACCATTAGCTAAAGATGAATTGCATCATCAACGTTTATGACGACTCAATCGCAAAGGACAGAAGTTTCCCACCTCTGCGATTAACGGTAACTCCAGAAGGAGTTGTATTTGTGTTTGTAACTAGTTGATGGAATTTATATTTATAACAATTATTTAAACTTAAACTTAACAAATATTAAATAATACAGTTTTAATAAAAAAGTTTTATGAAAATTTCTTTGAGGCAACTGCTGAGTGAAATATCTTTCTCAACACACTTTTAAATTGTGGAATTACAATATATGCACATATAGCATACGTCCATAATCAAATTTGATCATGCTCCCCTTAATATTAAAGTGTAAAAAATCAATCTTCCCACTAAAACAAATAAACTTCGTAACCAACCGAAAGTTAGGCTATGCAATCAATCAACAAAAATATTGTTTTGTTACCTGAACTGCGGGTAGGCCTACATAAGCCTAGTGTTATTACTATTGGGCGTGTAGGTGTAATACGAGTTTGTAATCACATTATTCTCATGTGATCGGTTAAATGGATATTTATGATAAACGTGAAGTTGTTGAAGCAGACTGTTGTGACAAGGAACAGGGTTTGTCGGTTTACTGACATTTTAGCGATTCTCTCTGCGTCCCACGCCGTTCGACGGAGCATATTTCGCAACATTCTGGTCGTGACTTCAGCTTTCTTCTGTAGGAACCCCCCAAGTCCCGCGGCGTCAACAAACGGTCAGCTGAGCCCTTCCACCTGTGTTCTGTGTGGCCAGGTAACAGCTGATTAGTTTCCTTTCTCACGGTGATCCTATGTTGTGTCATCGCCCATCGGCGACATTCGACATCATATTTCGCATTAACATCGCCACTATGCTCGTAAAATATTTAGGCCTATATAACGACGGGCAAATAAGCTATGTGAATCGGCAACTACAGTTTTGAGTTGTTGTAAGCTATATACGTCGTGAATCATCTGGAATCTTATTCGCTCATTAATAATCTTGACAATATGCCAAATTGCCCCATTAGTGATAAAGTGACGTGAGTTCCTCTCCGCGGTCCGCATTCTGAAGTGTAATATTTTCAATATACGGTACCTGTTTTATGAAGTGCGTCGCTCTCTCAAAGAATTGATAAATATGGGAGCTCTTGGAAGCAATGTTCATTTTACTTTTTTTGTGACCATAAACCATTGAGAAAGAGCATTGAGAAGTTGTAGTTACTTTATATAATATTCTTGTAGAAATTAATGTAAGGCTTTTCCTTTAATATATAGCCTAACCCGTTTATTTTGTCGAACAATTCGGTCACTATTAAAACAAAGTAGTGAACGGTAGACATTGTTGGTGCTTAAAACACTCAATTACGCATAAATGGTCATAAACTAAGAATGTGTCAAATTTTTCATCTTTAATCACAGTATGAACTTATTTCATAAGAGCTTTAGAAGATATTGTTTGCCAACCTTTTCAACCTTCATCAATTATTCTAGACAAGACCATTAGCATACACCCTAATTTGTCATGTCATTACATTTAGCGGTTTTGTTTGGACTTTCGTCATGGCCATTATGACCACCTAAGCCATTCTTACCTAATTATCGGAATAGCCTCGGACCAGCTCCACTCGCCCAATAATCAGTCGCTTAGTTGGGCTCATTAGGAGTCGTACTGTTATGAAATGCGCTGTTCAGTCTTTGTTTCCGTGGACAAGCGGAGTTTGGCTCCAATATGCGATCATTCGACCACAACTGTCATCTGACTCTGACTTTCCTTTCCCTCTGAAAGTGACGAAATTACTTTCCAGTTCCTACTTTGGTAACCATAAGAAACAAGGAACGGAAGGAAAATGTTTATGCTTAACTAACAGCTGTTATCTTTTTACGTCAGCTGCAACAACCAGCCGATTATGTTGAATCTACTTACTATGTAAAGCATGAAATATGTGGTTATGTAGCCGATAATTACCTGTACTGTGCCAGAGCACGAGCAGGGAGATTAATATGTACACCAGCATGAGTGTCTCTGTTGACAGTAAATTCACCATTGTGTACCTTTAGACTATTGATTGGTAATAGATATTCAATCTTATTCCTCATGTTGAAGTTAGTGGCCATTTTGAATAAAAATGAACATGAATCAATTCATTGAGTGTAGGCTGAAGTAACTTACTGACTGTTTGCCAACTTTTTAACCAAAGTTAATCTGATGGGCAGGATTATCAGCACTTATGTAGCTACTTATTATGACTTATGAATCATCTTTTATTTTACATAAACTAACAAAAACTAAGGTACACATTCAAATTTTAGACAGTAGGGGGTAGGGGTGGCTCATTCAATACTCTTTTTATATTCTATAGCCTTTTTTAAAAAAATAAGCTACAGCAGGTGTATATGGTTAGAATATACTTCTGTACCTATCCAAAAGTCAATCTACTCATGCAAATGAAATAATGTTCAATGAGACCAATTTTCAATACTTTTCCTAGTGACAAGAAATTGTGTGATCATTGAAAATTCTCTGAATGACTGAAGTTTTACAAAACACCATGGATATGGTATGAAGATATAGTAGTTCTATTCATAGATAGGGCAATTGTGATGTCAAGGTTGTTCTAATGAGCAGACACAAGACTTAAGTGTGCACTTTGACTTTTAAGTGTAGGAATTGCAAAAATACTTGCATTTAAAACACATATGCATAAGTTTAAAACTTTCCGTCCTAAGTTACAGTAGTCGCAGCTAGTCTGGGCGCGCGGCCGCGCTATGGCGGGGGGTGTAGAGGGGAGTGTTTATTGCTCATTTCCAAAAACATCTTGCCCACTCGGCTCTCTGGGGTTGTTCAGCGAGGCTGTGGGGGTGAGCGAGCCGTTACTCTCAGCACGGCTAGTACACAAGGGTCCGCGCGCCCAGACTAGCTGCGACTACTGTATTTAAATAAGGGAGATTTCGTCCTTAGGTAGGGTACAGAGTAAAACCAAAATCTTTTATTATTATGAATATTGAATATTTTTTAACACAGCTCATAAGAAACATTAAAATTAATTTATTAAACATCTAACTATGAATCAATTTTGATAGTATCAAATCATTTCCACCATCGTATCAAACGATTTAACAACAATGGAAGTAAGTAACATAAAATCATGTAGCTAACTGCATAAGAATTTTTTTATTAAATTCAAATCCTGGCTTCCTTTTTGTAAATTAGGATGTTTTGATTGCAAGTCAAAAGAAGAATCCATTTGGACTATTTTTAAATTGTAAGAAAAAAGAAACTTTTTGCCCGTGAGATGAACAACATTTTTTCATATTGCACCATTATTTTAACAAATTATCATACTATACTTAAAATAGTTTTAATTTTAAGATAAACTTTTATAACTACTTCTAACTTGTTTTCAATTTAATTTGCTAATGGAAGCAAGCAGCAGTTTGGTTTGATTCAATCGTTTTTTCTAGTATTATTGTGTACATTATACTTTCGATATGTCGAACTACTCCCTAGGGGCTAAAAACGGTTTTCACTCCCTAGAGAGTAAAAATGCTACTTTAGACCCCCAACGCATGCATTACAAACGGCTGTTTTGCAGCAGTATAACTAAAACATTTTTTTAGATGGTTAAAGTATAAAATTGTTAATAGAATGTAGGTGTTCCTCAGTTTATATGTAAACCTGGTTGAACATCCTCCTTGATGCGTATTCCTCGTTTGCTGTTGCAGAGGATGGATTTTCCACACTTCATGACCCACTGAAGTGGCAGCCGCAGCATGAACCTGTACAAGCGAGGGATGATCTTTGTTACTTTCCTGGGGTCTTGCCTCAGCATCGCGCTGGTGGCTGCAGCCCTGGGGACCAAGTACTGGGTGACAGCACGAGCCAAGCGCACGCCCAACCCACAGGAGAGTGACGGGGTTGTGCGGATGGGACTGTTCTATGGTGACAAGGAGCTCAACGTCGCCTACGGCTGGCGAAACTACCCGTTCAGTGGTATGTCGGCTTTCAACTTGAAATCTAGTTAAATATTTCTCATGGTAAATATAAATGAGACAGATTTTAAGATTTCTCTGATGTCTGCAGTTCCAAACAAAACTATAACAGTCAATATTGTGATTGCGGGGTGTATGACAATGAAGTTTGATAAATCTAGATATTATAATTAAACAATAATTTTACAGCTCTATGTTTCATTAATACGAATCGTTTCCAAAACTTGTAACCCTATAGGATGGTAAAATTATAGTATAATTTTACCATCCTACAATTTACAAAACATGTAGAAGGATATAAAGCTCATTTTTTATAAGTCCGCTACTAATGAACTCTTATTTGCTCTTTAAGTTTTTCATCCCATTAGTTGGTTTTTCAATTTTCTTTTCAATTTGGAGTTAAGAACACAAATGGTTATAATAGTATAGTTTGTTGAAAAATTCTTCAAAACTTTTTGAAGATTAAACATACAAAACCTACAAGAAATCTGTCATTATGCTGCTGATTATAATTTATAATACGAGATTAATGAAATATACAGTAATACAATTATTTAAGTAAATCACAAAAACCAATTAAATAGTATAAATACTCATCAAATTTGTACGAATTTTAAATGGGTTGAAATTAGTTTTCAAATCTACACTTATAGGATACAATGTTGCAGCCAATTCGAAGCATATCAGGTTGATTTAGAGCAGAACATGAAAGTCTAAATTTGGGTCAGCTGTTGGTTATGTCATGAGAGGAGGTGTGGTGGTCACGGTCTTCACTTAACTAGACCCATCTTTCTGGTCACTTGCTGGCTCTTCTTCCCTGTGTAATTAATTAATTCTCACTCTCAGCATCTGCTATCATCCACTTCATGGATCAAGGGCCCCAGTCATTCAAGCCCCGTTTCCATCAAACATTTTCTGCTCAAAACATTGTTGCCAGCTAAACTCATAACAAAGTTGGAGTAAAATGTTGAATGGAAACACTAGCATAATGTTTTGAGCAGTGTTGGCCAACAAAAAGTGTTTGCAGCCGTTGCAGCTGACAACATTGTTGTGAGCTGTGCTCAAAAGGTAATGGAAACGGTGTCCAGCTGCCAACATTGCTGTGAGCAGAACTTACGCATGCGCACTTGCTCTGTGTGAGTAGTTCCTGCACATCCACCGCAGCACCATCGCACCTCTAGCCTAGCAGACGGGTTAAACACCAACAACACCACGTGTTTTTGTTTATGGTGTAAACATTCGTGTGTCGTGTCGGTGTATCTTGTTGTGTTGGGCTTTTGGACGGTATAGTGAGGCCATGGCGATGTCAAGTCAAGATTGGGGAAAAGACGAAGTGTTAAAGTTGATATCTTTGTATGAAAGTGAGACAGTGTTGTGGGATGTATCTAACAGCAAGCACAAAAACTAATAAAAGGAGTGATGCCATCCAAGTATTTTAATGTAGCTGCTAACATTTCGCCAGCTGATATGGGACTGCGCTCACCATGTTTAGCGATTAGAGGAGCCACCAAGTTTAGTAATTCTTCAAAGTCAGTTGCCGTCATTCGTACAAAATTTTGGGATCCAGCTCGAAGTCTTAAATCCCTCACAAGGGAGTTGTAGGCACATTCAACGGCCCTTTTAGCAAAAAAAAACTCCTAACCTACCATCGCGGTCGCTTTCTGCGTTTTAAACTAATTAATTGGTGATATGCACCAGCCATTACGACAAAAGCAGCAGCAGCAGTCTCTTCGCTCTCCATGATGAAGGTGCACTGGTGTAGATAGGTGTGTGGGACTGGGTGTGGATGGTAGTGAAATGTGCTCGCAGTAGGTTGGCGGGAAATGTTGGCGCGTATACTGCTGGAATGGAAACAGCGCGCCAACATTGTTGGGAGCTGTGCTCAAATCAACTTTGAACTTAGCTCCCAACATTGTTGGTACAAAATGTTTGATGGAAACGAGGCTTGAGACTTACAACTAACTGTAAAACTATAGGCTTGTCCTCTGTAGTTGATGTTGGCTATGCATTAAATGAAAGTATCTCTCAGTGGACAATCTTAACTATTAGTTAGCATTGTGGTTTTTTTTATGGGATTCAAAGAACTACCAATTTTTCAATTTTGGGTTGTTTTCAAAAGTTGCCTTGCTAAATAAAAATGTTAACCCCCATTTAGTGTCACTTCGTTTTGAAGTGTTTACAAAAACTTAAAGAATGGTAAAAACCAGAGTTCGCTATCTCTATTCTATCCAAAATGGTAGCCAATCAGTGGCGGTTCTAGGACCTTGTAAAGGGGGGGCTACCGGGGGGCTTGGGGGGTGTGGAGCACCCACCAATAAGGCAGGGGGGTCCGGGAAATTTTGGAATTTTCAAAACCGTTTGGTGACTTTCTAAAGCCATTTTTAACACGTTAAACCATGCCCAATTGTCCATAAACTCCCACTTCGGGTGACCCAACGGCTTTTAGGAGAATATGGCCGTAGTCTACAGTGTTTTGAAATTCATGTTGGGTGACTTTCTACAGCCAGTTTTAACGTCTAGAACTGTGTGCAAAACCTCCCATTTCCCCATTTATTTGTCATGATTAAGTAGACATTTTTAAAACTAACTGTGACGATTGCATTTATAAATCTCAAAACATATTGTGGGCTACGCCTACGGCCATATCCCCCTAAAAGCTGTTTACTGACTTTCTAAAGCCATTATTAATGTCTATATGTGTCCAAATGTCCATAAACCTCCCATTTCACCTGTTATTTGTCTTTGTCATGAGCAAAGTAGACATTTAAAAAATCAAACTATGACGAACTTGCATTCATGAATTTCAAAACATTGGCCTACTGTAGACTACGAAGCCATATCTCCTAAAAGCCGTTTAGTGACTTTATAAAGCCATTTCTAACGGCTAGAAGTGTACCCACTTGTCCTAAAACCTTCCATTTTACCTGTTAGGCTATATTTCATGCAAGCAAGTAGACACGTTTTTTAACCTTACGTTTTTCTCCATTTCATAGATCTGTCACAATATGTATATTATCGAATTCAGTAATAGCATTGACTATATAAATTTTAACACTAGTGTTTACATATAGTCAATGGTAACAGGCTACTTGTGCTACCGCTGATTGTTGATTGGGAGAGCACTTTTTCACCTCAAATTAGTTGACGAATATCGAAACTGGAAAATCGATACTTTTACCGCTCGATTGTTTTAGAGTAATCGAATCGGAATCGGAGTAAATTTTATTAGTTTGACTGAGACTGACTAAGAAGTTTTACAAACTCAATGGCTTTAATTTTAACTTTCAATAGGCTATTAAATTTTAAAATATAAGTTAAACCTTTTAAGTGGTGGGCCTCTTATAAAAGAGACCCCTTGAGCTGAATAAATTGATACTAAATAAGTTACTGTTACATTCAATTCAAAATTCAATACTGCTCTTGAGTAGATACTATAATCATATCGACCTCCAGACAAAAAATAAGATTAATGAAGGAATCAGGATTAAAATTTCTAAGAACTGTGAGCAAGGTCATAATTTTGTAATTTTTAATTCATCATTATGCTTTAAAGTTAGTCTTGAGTTAGAAAAGAGTAAATTACACACCCTCTCAGGAAGGAGAGGAATTTTGGCATTTTTTACAAGAGCTGGGTTGATACTAACAATAATAATACAATTTAGTTAATAGAAATGGCCTCCATCTGATGATATTTAGTTTTTTATGAAAACAAATTCTGGTCAATGAACATAACCTTAGCAATAAGCTTTTCAACTGTTGACATTGAATTTTATTCCCATTACTATCTACTGATAAATAGAAACTGAAGAAGAATTTGTTCGTAAGGTATTAACAAATTTATGTATTCTCTTAAAATTGACATTACGTCTCTAGGCGCTACAATTATATATTGTTCTCCCCTAATGATCTACCATTAAGTCAAACTGTCAAGTCAAAGGAGAACGGGAAAGGATGGAGTGGGAGTGAGTGGACTATCGATATCGCGATGCACTAAATTTAAAAAAAATCGAGCTGTAAAAGTATCGATTTTCCAGTTTCGATATTCGTCAACTAATTTGAGGTGAAAAAGTGCTCACCTGTTGATTGATGCCTGTGTAAAGTTAGTGGCTAGCAGACAATTTGACAACTAACTAGATATACCACGAACAAAACAACCTGCGCAGAAACGAAAAGATCACGTGGTTCGCGCAGGTAGGTGGGCCGTACCATTCAAACCTGCGCGGCTCGAAACGGCCGAGGGTTCTTTTGTTTCTGGTATTACAACTATGAAACATCAGGAAATCAGCTGTTTCCCCGTCCTCGCTTGCGCGCTCGGCGCTAGCCTTTGCCCTAGCATGTCAACAGCTGACTGTTCTAAAAGATGGATGATGCGTACAACTTTCCATAGCATAATATTGTTTTATTTGCTGTGCTATTGTCCACAAAGTTTATCTATGTGGAACTTAATACTACTCCTGCCATCGCTTATTAAGTTTTTGGTCTCTAGGGACCTCAAAATGAAAAATTAAATTATCAATTATCAATTTTTTAAGATGGGGACGCCACTATGTGCGTATTTTAACCCAAATATGAGTGAAGGATGAGTGTAGGATGAGTGGCGCGATCTTGTAGTCTTGTTAGTGACTAAGGCCGACATGTTCCTTAGACACAGCTGTTAATTAATAGCCCATACAGCTAATGGCAACTAAGGGACCTACAGTTTATAGTGGAATCCGAACCACATTTTTTCCTTGTAATTTACGAATTGGTCTAATTATCAGGATAGTACTGCGGATAGTCGTAGTACTCACTAGTGCGGACGTTAATCCACACTGGGGAGCATCACATCCACAGTGCATCCCTATAAATATCCACAATTCGTGACCTCCTAGTGGCTGGATTACAGGACGACGCCACCCGTCCCTCTCGGGTCCAGGTCTTACCATGAGTACTACGGTAATAGCTTATTCCCTATATGGGAAATTCGCTAAAACAAGATCAGCTTTTGTAAAATGATCAAATATTTACAAGAAATGTTGATTATATCGATCTGTTACGTATATCTTGTGTATTTCCATAATCTTTGAGTCGAATCTTTTAAAGTCATCAGAAATTATTACTGTTATTCGTTTTAAAATAACGCCTGTAATACTTAGCTTGCTCGAATTCGAGCAACAGGTAAACTAGTAGGTAGCTATTAAGCCATAACCACATGTTATGTTGACATTCACTCCTCAATAGTATGGTATAAACTGCTGCTAAACAGGTACTTCATCAGTATCCATGTTGGATGTCTCTGAAAATGTACTCCAGGATGTTTGTCTCTTCCTTGTACCAGCCACTCGCCCAGCACTGGGTTGACAATACTGTAAAGGATGGACCTCGTTGTGTTTTTAGTTGATATGTAAAAAAAGACAAATTTAATTTTTAACAAATAATGTCCTATGACAAAGACAGCTATTGCCCAAAATTACAAAGAGAGATTTACCTAGTTAACAACTCTTGATTTTTTTAGTCTTGAGGGTTTGTGCAACAATTAAACTTTAGGTTCATCCGCCCTTTGTCCAAATCAGGAGGTCACAATAATCGTTCAATTATTTTGATTTGTAGTCACTTTTGTACAAAATTTTGGTAGAAACGAGAAACTATTATTGATAGTAAGAGATGAGTTTCATTCATACTGAACCTTCGCCTCTCCTCTTAACTAACCCAACTAACTTGTAAAATTGTCCTTTAATTATCAATCCATAGAAATTTGCTTTGTCCTTGTCAGTTGAACAGATCAGTTTATTCTCAAGCTACTTACAGTAGGCATAGCAAACAATAAGAAATTCTTTATATTACAATGTTTTCTGACCAAAAGTAGATTCTGAATTTACATTAGCAGCTAATTTACTACTTGTAAGTAATTTATATTTTCAGTGTATGATGCCATGAAGATGGACAGAGAGTTGATGGTGTACAGTTACTGGCTGACGACAGTGGCCTGTCTAGCTTTGTCCCTTGTATTTGCTGCGTTGGCTGCGGTGTTAGCAGTGATCAACACAGCTACCTCTCCCATCGGAACTCTCACTGGTGTGCTGGGGTTGTACCTCTGGAACATCGTAACATGTGAGTGTCAAACCTCCTTGCTGTTTGCACAGCCTTTTTAATTAACACTTAATCTCAATAACGGCTGCAACAAATTTTAGCCAAACTTACCAAGGTTGTTTTGTCAAATGTTTAGATGGTTTAGACGTAACAAATTTTAATTTTTGATAATGCCTAGATCATTTTTAAGTAACTAAAGGTTTTAAGTTTTAACATTGGTCTTATGGGTTGCCATGATGATTACAAAATGACGTAAATATAAACAAAACAATATATGTTATCATAGCATATGTTAATATCAAGCCACAACCTATAAACACAGTACAAAGAAAAAAAATTTGGATAATGACAACTGATCAAATACCACAATAAAAGTCTTATGTTTACATTTAAGCATAGATAAAACATGTATGTATTATCTATGATTTAAGTCGCTTTTGGAAACGACCACTGATCGAATAGGTACAGTCATAGATAAAACATACTTTTTAGGTACAGTACTTAACAGATTTGATTTACGTAGCTAAATAAGGATGTAACAAATAACACTTTATCTAAACAATCCGTCGGTGGATCCATTTCATAAATGGCAAACTTAAACAGGTCCACGACATAGGAAGTGGTGAAGGAAGTAATAAAGGCGAGCAGTGCGGAGTGTAGGAACTGTTTGTAGCAGTTAGATAAATGCATCTTAAATACTAAAATGCTATGGGAAGGGAGGGAGACACATCCAATACGTAAGAAGTGGTGAAGGAAGTAGTAAAAGCCAGCATTGCGGAGTGTGGGAACCGTTTGTGGCAGTTAGATGAATGTATCTGCAATCCTAAAATGCTATGTGAAGGGAGGGAAACAGGTCCATGACGTAGGAAGTGGTGAAGGAAGTAGTAAAGGTGAGCAGTGCGGAGTGTAGGAACTGTTTGTAGCAGTTAGATAAATGCATCTAAAATACTAAAATGCTATGGGAAGAGAGGGAAACACATCCAATACGTAAGAAGTGATGAAGGAAGTAGTAAAGGCCAGCATTGCGGATGAGTGTGGGAACCGTTTGTGGCAATTAGATGAATGTATCTGCAATCCTAAAATGCTATGTGAAGGGAGGGAAACAAGGTACATGACGTAGGAAGTGGTGAAGGAAGTAGTAAAGGTGAACAGTCCGTAGTATGGGAACCGTCTGTGGCAGTTAGATTAACGTATCTAAAATACTAAAATAATATGGGAAGGAAGGGAAAGCTGTTATAATCCTTCAATATTTTAGGTGTAAATTTTTTTCTGTGTCATTGGCAACCTTAGTTTTTAAGGCAGATGTATTTTTTTTTTTTTATAAATAAATTCTCTCTAATTTGGATTTTACTTTCATTTTTTGAAAACATGTAAAAATATCTACCAGTGCAAGTCACAGGCTGCCTTTTACTGGACAAGAACAGTTGTAACAGCAGTGTTAGTGTTAGTAAAAAATAACATCTGCTAACATCCTTGTCAATGTCAGTGTAGAATGTCCTTATTTCTTTGTCCTTATGTCATTTATTATTTTTTTTTTTTTGCAGTGATATTCCAGTGTACAGCAATTGGATTCTGGATAGCCCAGTTTTACGAGAGACTGCAGTACAACGTTTTAGGACTGGAGGAAAAGAGCAACTATTGGACCTCTCAAGGGATGGCCTCCTTTGGTTTCTCTTTCTGGTAAGGCAATGTAGTAATAGAAATGGATAAGTAATAAATAGTGGTTCTGCCAATATTAATTTTGATAAATATTACCTAGATAGTCTAGATATAGGATGTGAATCAACAAAGAAAGTCTATAAATCAGTTTGAAACAGACTAGCATGCTATGATTTTTCAATTAATAACCACACAAAAGAGGAGAGATGGCGGGAGCGAGAGATATTCTTAATTTCCCTGTAATCACGGGAGGTGAATAAAGTTCCACTAGGAGAGCGGGAGATGATCTGGATAGGCCAGTGACAATCAATGTCGTGACTACATTATTTATCATGCGAGCAGATAGAAGACCAAGTCTCAGAGAGAATGAAAGGGAAAAATATTGTTCCATTTTCTCCAGTCCCGTAACAGCTAACACTGGTCTTGAGTTTGTGGCTATTACATTGTGTCTTCTCTGGCTAAAGAGACCCTTCCCTATTCACGTCAATGAGCATAGCCATTTCATTAATTTAAAAATAACCAAAATCTTGTGAATTTTTTGTCACCTCTAAAATTTAATCATATTGGAAAACAATACCTATGTTTTTTTTACTTAAAGAGCTAGTCCCTGGAACTTTCTTTTTGGTGTGGGAAGGGGGTCGGTTGGCTAAGTTTAGAGGGGATGGGGGTAATGAAAGGGGCTGATACATTTTACACACAGGCCTGAGGCTCATGAGGACGGACAAATAATATATACAAGGGTAAAAAGCCCAATAAATAATATATTACGTTGCTAGTCAGGAAATCAGTGTTTACAGGACGAGTGTGGTCGGTCCCTTGGGCAGTGCCAAATTTAGGGTACTTGCGGCCCTAGGCCCTACCCCTGTGGTGGAAATTGCTTGCGATCGCGGAAGTAATCGTGAATATCTCCTATGCATCAAGGGGACATTATCATCGACACCAGTGATCGTGGATGAAATCGTGGGTATCTCTCCTAAATCATGTCAAAGCCATTATAGGTATCCGTGACCGCGGCAAAGTCATGAACATTCCCCGCGGGCTGTAACAAAGGTGCATCATCTTTGACACTTGCGACCGCAGTGAAATCAAGATAATATCCCATGAGCTGTAACCTTGAGGACATCATCACCGTCACCCTTGACAGCAGTAAAATCGTGAACACCTCCCGCGGGCCACAATCACGGGGACATCATCACCGTCACCCGCAGCCGTGGCAAAGTCGTGTTAAATAGTCTCCTGTGGACTGCAATAATGAGGACATCATCATTGTCACCCACGGCCGTGGTGAAATCTTAAACACCCCCCTCGGGAAGCCATCACGAGGCCATCATCATTGACACCCCCAGCCCCAGGCGAAAACGCAAAAATCTCCCGCGGGCCGCAATCACAGACATCATCATTGACACTTGCGACCTCCGTGAAATCGTGAACATTTCTGCGGGCCGCAATCACGGGGACATCATCATTGACGCTCGCGGCCGCGGCGAAATCATGAACATCTCCCGCGGGCTGCAATCACGGGGACATCATCATTGACACTCACGGCCGCGGCGAAATCATGAACATCTCCCGTGGGCCGCAACCACTGGGACATCATCTTCAACACTCGTGACCGCGGCGAAATCGTGAGCATCTCCCACGGCCCGCAATCACGGCAACATTATCATCAACGCCCACGGCCGCAGCAAAATCATGAACATATCCCGCGGGCCCCAATCACTGGGACATCATCTTCAACACTCGCGACCGCGGCAAAATCGTGAACATCTCCCACAGCCGCAATCACGGGTCATCATCATAGACACCCACGGCTGCGGCGAAATAATGAACATCTCTGGTGGGCCGCAATCACTGAGACATCATCTTCAACACTCGCGACCATGGCGAAATCGTGAACATCTCCCACGGGCTTCAATCACAGGGACATCATCATCGACACCCACGGCCGCGGCGAAATAATGAACATCTCCCACGAGCCGCAATCACTGAGACATCATCTTCAACACTCGCGACCACGGCGAAATCGTGAACATCTCCCACGGGCCGCAATCACAGTAACATTATCATCCTCACCTGCAATCGCGGCAAACTGATGGTTTAAAAAAATGTTTTTTCAATTGTCTGCGGCCCTACTGGGAAAACGTAACGCACCCATTGTAATACATGGGTCAGTGCCGCTACGTACACTGACTTGTGGAGCCCATCTGCGGCCGTCTTGTTTTCGCTGCATTGAGTCAGCGTTCCATGTTTATAGTTCTATGGGTGTACTGAAGGAAAGGGTCCTGCTGGGAGTGCTGGAGGGAGGGCAATGTTAAGGTTTTCAAAATTGGGGTTTCAGTTTCTAACTAAATGATTTATACAGTTTCTACCTTACCTTTCAATTGTTATTTAATCTTTGTGTGCTTTGTATTGTTTTGGGTTTTAATAAAGTTGGGTTTTGTAAGCGAGTGAGTGAAAATTTAAAAACGTACGTTTTCATGTCCCTGGCCTTTTACTTCGTAGATACTGGATTTGTAGTTTATTATTATGTGTTTTAATATTTTTTGGGACGGGGGCAACATGCTACACACATTTATTTGGTTTTAAATAGGTTCTAGGTATTTTTTTCGTATTTTTAAAGTCTCGAAATTCACGACCATGACGTGTCCCTAGGGTACATTTACAAACTTTCACGCTGTTTTTAGACTAATTATTCATGCCGAAATATATAAAGCCATTATTTTTATGTCATCAATGGTTATTAAACTTACAAAAAAGGAGCATATTATAATTTTATTGTCATTACAAACTGACTACCATGACAAAATAAGTCTGTCCCTCGATTTGGCGTCACGACCATTTGGGAAAAATTTTCAACTTTGGAGCACGACAGTGGCAAGCCTGGCGTGGATGGAGTCAGTTGGTTTTAGAGACTAGTTCGGGGTGTATGTCAGGATTGTAGTGCCAGTCGTTTCGAGTTGAAAGGAGGAATTACAAGATTAATAAAGGAAAGATTGTGTTTTTTGTAATTTTGGTGTGTCCATGACCGTACGTAGTCATTCGATGAAGTAGACATTGGTGTTAATCTTTGTTTATAAGATATTTCAATTGCTAGATTAACCTAGAAGTCCACTTTGTATCCTCGAACATGAGGTGCAGGGCTACCGCCAGAACAGAGCCAAATAACACGTAATTTCACGACCAAAGTTTCACGACGATCGCGGGTTTTTTCACGACCAATCCAGCCTTATGGATTATAGTGTGTTTGGTCGTGACAATAACTTTAATTTAATTGTAAATTGAACAGTTTAGTTCAATTGAAACACATATTTTTATTGTAACTAACAGGATAATTGAAGGATTGTTTGGAAAGATTTAGATTATTCCAGACAATTCACGACCGTACCGCTTGTCCCTGACCATCACGTTTATGATTTCTATCATAAAAATTTCAAAAATTAAAATATCGTCATATTTCAATGTTTTATACACAAAAGAAGCACACCTCTATACAAACATAACGATTTTTCGGGTCTCAGGTAAGTTTTTTCGGAGTTATACAAACTTAAAAAGATTTTATTGGCTTTTTTCAATTTTTTGAGTTTTTTTATTTTTTTCTAGAAAGACCAAATATACCAAAAGCTCAGTGACCTTTTTATTGTATAATGGTCATAAAAGTAAATAAGTTTATAGCAAAACATAGTTATAAAAATAATATTAACTATTTTAAATATTCATTTAAACGTGCGTTATGGTCGTGACAGGATTTTGTGTTTTTCCACTAAAGATGCTCTTTTAAAAAGAAACTACCAAAGATATTGTGTTACCATGGACATTCTATGAAACTTCAAATGTTAATGAAATAAAAATAAAAATAAAAGTTTTGAAAAAAGGGGAAAAGAATTTGCAAAGTGCTTTTCCTGAAAACGTACGTTTTTAAATTTTCACTCGAGTACTGAGTTTTATTACTGAGCTACGGGACCCAAAGTAACAGTGGGTACCTCCAGTAGAGAGGGACCTTCTGTTACAGTACAGTAAACACATTTTGTACAAGTGACATACGGTATCTTTTACCATTTACCTACAATAAGGTAACAATAAAAAAAAAACTCAGAAACCGTAAATATATGTTTCCACCAATGGACTTAATCACTACTCATAACTTCTCTGAGTGTTCATGTTATCGTTTGTAACCACTCACTACTAATAGAATATTTGACTACCTACTATCAAACATTGTTGTAATTTTAATCTTTTTGAAATAGTTCAATGTAAAGTTTAATGTAATGACTGCAGAAAATTGTCAAGTCTGAAAATTATTCACAAGTTTTAGTGCTATTTATATAAAATTTTATCAAAATCAGATAAATTTGGCTCGAGTTATCGTGCTAACGGAATTTGAACAGATAGAGTCTTTGGTCTTTTGAGGCTATCAAAACAAAAAAGTAAATTGGTCCCAAGTCCAGGTTTTACCATGAACCTACGGGAATAGCTTATTCGCTAAAACCTGGACAAATCCATTACGTAGTCCCACTGACTAAAGACTAAAGTACCGTACTTGATAATCACTTCTCGTAACTTCTAAGAGAGGTTAAGAGGTTATTTTTTTGTTCATAAAACCACTCATTGCCAAATATAATCACATTACTAGACCACACTCCAGTTTTCAGTACTGTAGAGGTTTCATCTGCTTACAGGCTGGCAGTCGTCGCTGCTGTCGTCCACATTGTCAACCTAATCTTCATTTACATGGGAACAAAGGAGTCTAGAGCTAAGGCCGCCTCAATACCAGTTCTTGAGGAAAAAGGAAATGGAGCTATTATGCTCTACTGACTCACTATGCCATCTTGTAAATATTCTTGTAAAGTTATTTCTAATAAAGTATTTTTAGTTTTCGTGTGTGTGACTTATAATTTTTTATCAAATTTGATCTTGAAGCAAAACAAAACAGTAAAAAATAGAGTTCGCCCCGTGGTATAAAACTTGACCAAAAGTATGTATTGTGCAAACTTCTCTATTTTCACCCCACGTTGTAAAACATGTGATTGGAATTTCTTCCATTTGTTTTGATTTTCTGTTTCTATTTTGTTATTATTTCGTCACCAACATGGCAAACTACAAGGTCCATGTTAATTTTTTTATTTGAAATTTGTTTTTCATGCTTAATTTGAGCCTATTTTAATTTATAAAGGGATTCTGCACATCTACAGGCATAAATATTTATAACAGTATGCGTAGATTTTCCCTGCAATGCACAGGAGCTGAGAAAATTTTTTTTCAATAAACATGCTTGTCTGTTAATATAGAGGGTGTTGAAAAAGTCTTAACGCACCCCAAAATAAATTAAACTGCGTAAGATAAAATTGTTCAACTTCAACACAAGGGCGTAGCACAACGTTAGGGGGTAAACCCCCCCCGCCCCCGAAATGTAGTAGTTAAATTAACACTAGGTTTAAATGTCAATTTAAATTAAAAATCAATTTCAAAATTTTTTAAATCAAAACTTAAATTTACACATACAGCTACGTAGTCCTGAAAATGTAGAAGCTGCTGTTGATCACTTTGTTGACTGTATTCAAAATTCTGCCAAAGAATCCGGGGACGATGAAACTGCCCCGATATTTTAGGTAAGTTTTAAATGATGAAACTGCCCCGCTCATTACAGAGTATCAAGAAGGGTCACCTCGTCATACTCGAAATGCTGAAATTGCCCCGAGCGCCCGGCCAGGTAGCCGCTACGGGTCTGGGGAAAAGGGAATTTCTGTTGTCCCTACGTTATGTCAGTGACTGCAGTCTTCTAATAACTACCACCAATATCAGGAATTACCCTACTAGCTGATTTTAGGTTAGGTATTGGTACAGAAACAAAAAAGAGGGAATTATTGTTGTCCCTGCGTTCTATCAGTGACTGAATTCTTCTAAAACTGGCACCAATATCAGAAATTTCTAGCTTTTTAAGGTTGGGTTAGGTTAGGTTAGGTTAGTTTAGGTTAGGTTAGGTTAGGTTATGTTAGGTTGGGTTAGGTTAAGTTAGGTTAGGTTAGGTTAGTTTAGGTTGGGTTAGGTATTGGTACAGAAACAATTGGCTTGGTAGGAAAAGCAGTCGACGGCAGTTAACTGCAGAAGAACTTAGAAGACTGCAGTCACTGACAGGACCCAGGGACAAAAATTATTCCCTTTTATCCCCATTCCTGTAGCAACTACCTTGCCGGGTGCTCGGGGTAGTTTCAGCATTTCTAGTCTTGCGAGGCGACCCTTGCTAATCCTTTTTAATGAGCGGGGCAGTTTCATCGTTTCAAAAGTACCAAAAACGTCGGGGCAGTTTCACTACGCCCAAAGAATCCACACCTCTACCTAATTGTGAAAGATTGGAGAAAATAGGCCTAGGCTACCCAATTCATATCAAGAATAAGATAGCAGAAAAGAGACGACTCAGAAGAATTTGGCAAAACTCAAGAAACCCAAAACCGAGCAGCACGGAATTTGAAAAGATTATTGTACGACACAAAAACCGATGGTTTGAAGAATATACTCAATCTTTGTCGGCTACGGAAGCATTTCTCTTTAATTCTATATATTGAGACTAGACCACATACCTGCTCAATTTAAGAAAGCCCAATTAATTGTCATACCAAAACCAGGAAAACCTCCTCATGAAATCACTTCCTACAGACCTATAAGTCTCTTTGCCTATAGTGTCTTAAGTTGTTTGAGAAATTGTTCCTCAAAAGACTACAAGCTCTTTTTGAAGAAGACGACGTCATTGAAGGACACCAATTCGGGTTTAGACGGAGACATGACACCGTGGAACAGGTCCATAGGGTTGTTCATACAATTCGAAACTGTTTGGAAAACAAACAATTTTGTTGTGCGGCTGCTTTCCTTGATGTCAGTCAGGCATTTGACTGTAGTTTGGCTATGGTAAATAAATAGTAAAGCATTTGACTTTGAAAGTATGGCACTCTGGCTTACTATTCAAAATTAAGAAGTTACTACCCTATTCAGTTTTTCCTATTTTAAAATCATATCTTACCAACAGAACTTTTCAAATTAAACATCAAAATTACTTAACTGACCTTTACTCTATAGAATCCTTGGACCATACTTGTATATTCTCTATACATCGGATCTACCAGAAAGTGTAAACACTATAGTTGCTACATTTGCGGATGACACGGCGATTTTATATGTCCACGACAATCCAGCTCAAGCTACAGCAAATTTACAGCTAAACTTGGATGAAATTTCACATTGGTTTAAAACATGGAGGTTCAAAATTAATGAAAATAAATCAGCACACATTACATTTACCTTAAATCAGGCTACATGTCCTCCAGTATCCATGAACAATATTCACCTCCCTCAAGTAACAGAAATAAAATACATGCACTTAGATGCAAAGCTTAATTGGAAGGCACATATCTGGACTAAAAGACAACATCTAAATTTAAAAACAACTAAACTTAATTGGCTTCTTGGATCTAAATCAAAACTCAGTACACAAAATAAATTGTTACTGTACAAAACAGTTCTAAAACCAATTTGGACTTATGGTATTCAGCTTTGGGGATCAGCAAGTACCTCAAACATTGAAATTATTCAACGTTACCAATCAAAATTATTACGTTTTTTAATGAGTTAAGTAACTAGACAGGGTATGGGAATACCTGCAAGACGTGGAAGAGTATCCAGGAATTGTTTTTGTTTTCCGTTTTTATAATGAGTGAAGTAACTAGACAGGGTAGAGGAAGACCTGCAAGACGTGGAGGAGTATCCTGGAATTCAACTGACACAAGAAATGCTGAAAGAGAACCTCATGTAAGGTCTAACTATGAAATAAATCCACAAGCTGGTTTACAACCTGCCTTCAGAACAACCTTCAGAGGAACGCTGGAAAATGTGTTGAGTGTTGTTTCTCACAATATAATAGGTCCTCAAAACGGCACTTGCATGCGTTGTGGCGCATTTCACTTCGCAGAGGAGACGGACATTTCAACGCATGTTGCCACAATGGACTCATTAACATGCCACAATTATTGTTCCTTAATTATGGACTATGACCCCTACAGGCCACTAGTAAACTTTAAAGAAAAACTATTGAATAGAAATTCAATTCTGTACACTAAGTAACAAATCAGATTGTAAAGTAACCCATCTAGATCACAACAAATGATAACTATAGCTAAATATCAGCTGACTCCTAGAGCCTGAATCTCTGGTGATAAATGTTTGTCAAAACCAAAAGATTTGAAAATACCAATTTAAGAGAGTAATTACACATAATAATTATTTCCATCAAAACTTTATTCAGGGGTGCCCATCCCCCCCTAGACTCATGACGCACCCCCCCCCCCAATTGAGCAACAGCCCCCCCACCATAAATGATGTACACAACATTATTCCCCCGCCCAGTACTATTTGTAAAACTATAAAAGAAGTTTTATAATTTTTTTAGATATTTAAAATTCAAACCCAGTGGATATGAATAAAGTTATAGGTTTGTCTGTACATTGCTCAGAATTATACATATTTTGGGTTATTTGTGTTTTATACATTGAAGAAGTTGAAACATGTCTTATCTCTATTTATGTCCGTCTGTAACGGCCCAGAAGGCATTTTTATGCAGCCTTCTCTAAAGAAAACTAGAGTACCGATTATGATTCTAATGGTTTAATTGTATCCACAGGATTGCCGAGAGAGTCCTTATAGCCATTAAAAGGCCTCACTATTTTGGAAATAAAACAACGGACGATAAAAAACACAATTTTGTGTGATTTTCTAGTTTATTTTCTCCATGTTTACTACATACGTCATTAATTTATGAAATGCTAATAATCTGTTAAGAGAACACGTCATATATGAAGTTATGAACAGCTGTTTTGATAAAGATTCCTTTTCCTAGTTGTCACTTATATGTTTACATAAATGTTGTTTACGAATGCTGTGTAGGCCCCAACCATTTCCGATCATGTTTGTAACCATTTACGATCACGTTTGTAAGCAAATCCAAAACCAAGTGAGATTAATAACCGTGTGTGGCTTTGGCTTACATAACGGGTTTGATTGATCACGGGTACTAATATGTAACTGTAAATTGAATTAAATAACTAGCCATCATCCAGGTCGGGAACCGGAGATTCTGTGTTTCAAGTTGTACTTGAATTTTGATTACAGGGAAAAGACCGTGAATCAGTGTTGTACAGGACTGGAAAACTTATCTTTCTATATAAATAAAATTAGAGTTTTATAAGTCACTTCAATATAAGGAATTTTTTATTGCCAGAATATCCATATAGCGTTCGTAACCTCTGCTTAACGAATTGTCAGCGTCTTTTCTCGATATAACGATCCGGATCCCCTCTCCCTCCCTTTAGAAACATCACAGCCAGAGGCGGCGTTTACTTTCATAAGGAATATTTATCAAAATTATAAAATATAATTATATCAATAATAAATCTAGATTTCGTCCCCCCACCTCTCAAGCCCAATCGCCGCCACTGATCACAGTTCCTTTGATGAAAATGAAATGGAAACAACGCTTGCGCCAACAATCGTCTGCTCCGTTTTACACTTCTGTCTGCTGTGCGCTATGTTACAACAGATTTCAGATACAACAGCTGGGGAATGATGACGATATAATGCTTAGTAAACTGTGATTGAGTGATTAGTATCCATGGTAACTTAAATAAGGCTGTGATTGGCCAATGAGTAGGCCTAAATATGGCGACATGTTGAATTTGTGTATGAATTGAAGAGAAACCTATTAAAGAACAAAGAAAAAGAATAACAAGATTGTTCTCGTTACATTCTTTTTTAAGAGTGTTTTAATTATCTCTAAATATAATTTTACACTTTTTTTATTACTTATCTATCAATTCCTATGCTGTGATACAGCACCTATCGGTAGCCTATCTGTCTATCATGAGCAGTACCTTATAACACTTTCTAAAGGTTCCTTTAATATTTACGTTATTTATAGCAATGCAATGTTTGGCTGGTGATTAGTAGAGTTTGAGTTAGCTATAATTTTAAACGTTGCCGTTTGTACAACTGAACCAAGATAAATGATTTGAAATTTACAATAATAATGTTATTGCACAATAATAATGATTGTGCAATAATAATGATTGTGCAATATTGAATTTTGTTTATAAAAATGATAATCGTGACGTTAATGGCTGTTTACAGCGTTTTAATGAGTTTGTCATATGTTTTTATAATATATTGGATTAACCGTATTTTTCATTACCCCCCCCTCTCACTATTAACTCAGGTAATCTAGTATCTACACAATAGTGTAAAGTATTGTAGCCTATGCTACTTGATTGTATTTTAACGAGCTTTATGTCAACAAAGCGTTCTGTGCTAAGTCGCGGTGTAGCTGGACGTGTCTGTACCACGCGTTATCTTTTATCTATCACAGCAGTTGAGCCATTCGGTGCCCTCCCTCTTAGATCTCACGTCTTGCTAATCTTAAATAATAACTTCCTACACGAATCCCAAACTATCCTAAAATCCTATTTTAACTAATTGAATTCAATAATATAACTATTGTTATTAATTAATCCACTTTCTATCTGGCGACTTCCGTAATATATTTTGGATTGTCGTCACGTTGAACACTGTTGCAATTAGCTTTAGCCAACCCCCCCCCCATTTGAATTTTTTGAGCCCCCCCCCAAGAATTTCAATGACGCAGTCTGCGTCACAGCCCCCCCTTGTGGGCACCCCTGCTTTATTGCATCAGATAATTTAACAAAAAGCATAACCTTCCCTTATTTAAGTATTTGAAACAATATGACATCTTAATGATATAAAACATGATATTAGTATTACCACAGCGTCCTCTAAAACAATACTGAGATGAGACAAAAGTGGCAACACTGAAACAGCTGTTGCAATGCTTATATATATTCTTTTGTTATTACTGTTACCGGCCGCGGCCAGTGTATTGCCACACAGCCTTGTTTTAGAGGAGGCTGGTATTACAAAACTGATGATGATTGTAGTTACACAACCCAAATAACATACCAACTGGGGTATCAAAAGGCTTAAAAATGATTAATACAAATAATATATTAGGAAAATGTGATGTTTATATTAGCAGTCCATAGAAAGTCCAAAGGATTATAATATACATTATCAGTCTATTTAAAATACTTATTATGTTTGCAAAAAATGAATACAAATAAGAAAAGGAAAGTAATAAATCGTGATAATTGATTGACAGATATCTTTATTTAGTAAATTTTGATCCTTGAACAAAACACTAAGCAATTACTACCCAAATCCCAAAAGCAATAACTTTGAAAGTTGTTGCAAACTGTTTAACTAATATTTTAATACAAATTTTAACTTGTTAACCAACAAACCCAACTGATTATCATGTAACATGTTTACATGATAATCACATTGTGGCTGAATAAAATCCTTAATCTAAAAGAAAGCTGGGTAAATGACATTTGAAGTTTATGATTAGCGCCGACTGACTTTCTTCCAACTGCTGTCTTCTTCCTCGGCTGGGGCTGCAAAAGACAACACAGGGTGAGATTAATAACAGCCAAGAACGTTACGCTACATGGCTACATTAAAAATTCCTTTGTTTGTAATTCCGGCTGGGCTATAGCCTATAAATAATTATGTTGAAACTAAATTTTATCCTAATAGTTTTTATTCTCAGGCTATAAACTAATTAATGTAAATTATAGTACTATTTTGGACTTTACAAGTAGAGAGTACATAGAGTAAAATATAAATATTTTTAGAAAGGATTAATCGAGGAACTAAGTTTATAATACCTTTCCCCTCATTTAAGTTTTTTTAAAGCAGCTTTTTCTTAAAATTGGTGCAATCATACACAAAGAATCCAAGAGAATATGAAAACAATAAATCATTATTCCCACAATAATTATAACTACTTATTAACTTTTTTTATATTCAAAGTGAACGTGTAGCATTAACATAAAAGTTATTATTTGAAAGATATTTACAGGTTATTAATTTTATATCAAAATAAAACAATATTTATTTCTGGGGAAATAGATAATTTGAAAAAAAAAACATTTAGATGCTAGTACAGTAGACTCTCGCGCATCCGGACTAATGTGGCAGGCGTCCGGTCCAGATTACGAAAAATCCGGACTATCGAGAATCGAGCAAATACACAGTACTGTATATAGCCGTTTTTTCCAATTTAGTTCCAGGTCCACAGTAATGATAGCCGGGCATATGCACTTCCACCAGTAATAATCTTTACGGCTGAATTTTGTTCCAGGTCCACAGTAATGATAGCCCGGCGGATATGCACTTCCACCGGTAATAATCTTTTCGGCCGAATTTTGTTCCAGGTCCACAGTTCCACCGGTATAATTTTTTCGTCCGAATTTTGTTCCAGGTCCACAGTAATGATAGCCCGGGCATATGCACTTCCACCGGTAATAATTTTTACTGCCGTGTTATCCGATTTTTTTCATTATTCAAGGTAGTCTCGGTCCTGTTTTGCTTGGATAATCGGACTTCTACTGCACTGTGTCACTAAAAAAAATCACGATTGCCGATCCGGACTACCGGGAGTCCGGACAAGGCCGATCCGGATGAGCGAGAGTCTACTGTAGTAGGCATACCTGAAATCCTCAAGATTTAAGTTGGGCACAAGTTAATCACATTAAGTTAAATTAAGTTCACAAGTTAACTTTAGGCTAGCATAAGTTAAATTCAGTTTAAAGCATGTCAGATTTGGTCACCAGTAAAAAGCAGCATTAAATCCTCTAAAAGTAAGGATATTTATGATATGTCGGCTAATTTTATGAAAAGGATTGTCATTTTGATTGCTCCAATCTTGGCCCATCTGTTTAGCTCCTGCCTTCTGCAGGGTGTTTTTCCTGATGTACTTAAAGTATGAAGAACAGTGCCAGTATACAAGAAGGGCCCTAGGGATGTAATGGAGAGTTTTAGACCGGTATCTTTAATACCGGTGTTTGGTAAAGTATTGGAGGTGATCATGTTGAATCAGCTTTGTGACCACTTTGAGGGGAATAACCTCCTTGCCCCTATTCAACATGGTTTTCGGAGGGGAAGGTCTACAGTTACAGCTGTAGATTCTCTCCTTCAAGTAATCTTGGAAGCTTTTGAGAGCAAGTCGTCAACTGCTGTTCTTTTGTGTGATTTATCTCGTGCTTTTGACTCTGTTCCTCATGACAACTTAATTGAGAAATTTGAGAAGTCTGGCATTGGGAGGAGTGCCCTCAAGGTGGTGCAGTCTTATCTAGACAATAGATCTCAGATTGTAAGTTGGAATGGTAGCAACTCGAGTGCCATTGAGGTCAGATGTGGAGTCCCACAGGGCTCAGTGTTAGGGCTCTTCCTTTTCATTGTTACCATGAATGATCTGTATCATTGTTTTTCTCATGAGATGCTGTTGTATCAGATGACACTACTTTGTTTATGAACCATCCTGATCCTTATATTGCGTGTAATAATGTTAATGTGCTGTTTTATGCAGCCTCAGATTGGTTTTCTGGTAATAAGCTAGCACTTAATGAGGGAAAACACAAGGAATATTGTTTAGCCTAAGCAAGAAAGTACATGAGGGTAATACAGTGAAGTTGTTGGGATTCACTTTGGACTCTGAACTTGGGTGGAGTGATCACATTGATGCCCTTTGCGTAAAACTTAGTAGAGTCACTCATCTGCTTAGGAGGCTCATGTGTGAAGTTCCCCTTAATTTTGTGAGACTCGCTTTCTTCTCATTTTTCTTGTCTCAATGTCTAATTTCCATTAAGTCTAAGGAGTCTAGCTTTGTTTTAAACAAGGACCCATATGACACAAGAAGCTCCAATAGCATACATTTGACTGGCCATAGGCTAAGTTTGACTCAAAAATGTTTTCCTGTTTCAGGTATAAAGTTTTTTAACTGTCTACCTATTGAGGTACGGTCCTTGTGCACCTCTAAGTTTTGTATGGTAATAAGAAAATGGTTGTCATTAAATCCTCTGTACAAAATTGAGGATTTTTTTGAGGCTATAAGGGCTGAGCCCATTTCACTTGGAAAGGTTTTGCCTGAAACTGGTATGTAGGTTTGCTGTTTTGTTTTGCATGGCTTGCTGATTTGTTAATTTTTTTTCTGTATGGTTTGCTGTGTGAGTTTGCATTTTGTAATTTATAATTTGGAATGATTTGATTTATTTATTTAGCCGTTAAGTTATTTAATGTACGAGACAAAGCCTATTGTACATTTTGTATTGCATGGTGAATAAAGCTTTTGAATCTTTTGAAGCATTGAATTTAGCGTTTATCATAAATTGTAAATCTGCTGTAATATGCATTCACATTATCTTTTAGTTTACCTATCATAGTCTTCCACAATCGTGGCAAAGTTCTAGTCATCTTCCACGGTTGTGTAGTCATCATCATCGTTTCCCGCGATTACGGAACATTATCCGCAATCGAGACAAAATCATGAATTTTTCAATAGCGCAAACTTCACAGACACCCTTCAGCTAACAATATAAAAATTATCGAGTAACCTAAGATATGTATCGGAGAGAAGAATAGAACAATTGTATTACTTAGTTTCTTACAAAAAAAGCTTGGTTCGGCTTGAAAATTAAGCAGCTCTCACACCTTTAATCTATAGGCAAGTCATGATGGTGTCTCATGCCATCAATGGTACAAGTATCGAGATTTGAGAATCAGGTATCTATATCGAGAGTTGGTGTTGACCAATCTCTTGCATTATTTTAAAACTCATTATCCCATTTATTTATTTTCAAATAAGAATTTATAATGTAAAAATAGATCTATCCCTAGTTTGATTTGTAATTTTTTTCTTTACAAAATAGCAAATATTCTTCAACAAATTATATGCTCATGGGTTTTTATTAGTGATGGGCGGATCCAAGAAAGTGTCAGTACCGGATCTGGATCCGGATCTTGAAAAATTCAGATGAATACGTACTGTCATTAGAACGGGGGTTGAAAAAGAAAACATAATATTTACAGAAATACAATTTAAATCATACTGTTTAAAGTTAAATTGGTAATGTTTAAAGGTTGATGTAATCTATAAATTTCAATGTATGCTTGTCTGTTTGTTTGTCCTTTATGCGTTACCAAACCGGCCATCCGATCATGATGAAAATTTTGGAAGTTGTTATATACGCCCCCGGGAAGGTTTAAGTGAAGTTTGGTGCAGATCCGTCAAAAGGGTTCCGCCCCAGTGGCTCTGGAGTTTCCCATGTTAACCTTATTGAGTACTTATATTTAAATGGAATTATAGAATCTTAACAGCTGGTTCAACTAAACAATTTGATTCTGTGATGTTCAATAGCATTAATAATTTATTTTTGTAAAAAAAATACAACCGACTTCAAACGCTCTAAAAAGAATGAAATAATTTCAATAAAGTAAACTTTTGTATTAGGCAAGCTCACGTATTTAAAGTCGGCGCGGCTCTATGATGATTTTTGATACAAAATTTAAAGAGGGTGTCCATATTGCAGGTGACTATCTATAGCTAAAGGGGTTAATCTGCATGTCTTTTTCATAGTTATGCGTTAAGTGTTATTTTATTACCGTAATCAGAGATCGGCATCATAGTGGTATTAACGAGTATCTTTAAAAATATTATAACGCATTTAAATGTTTCTAACTAAGAAAAGTAACGTTTTAATACTAAACTAGCTTCTTTTCCCTATCACAATATCAAACTAAATTATTTTCCTATTCATATAGAACATTTGTGTGTGTTATTTTCATAATGCATTTATTGTGAAGTAAACATAAAATACAAGAAAATATTTCCTTTAATATATAAACAAAACAGTTCAGAATTTTTTTTACATATTTATGTTATCCAGCTACAATTTATTGATTTTCAAAATACACACACAATATTTAATTTCAATCATATTTGCAGTTTGAGCCACGCCGACTTGAAATACGTAAGCTTGCCTAATACAAAAGTTTACTTTATTGAAATTATTTCATTCTTTTTAGAGCGTTTGAAGTCGGTTGTATTTTTTTTACAAAAATAAATTATTTCATTATTTTTAGTGACTGTATAATTTTTTATGTATTATTTACTTGAGGTTTTTTGATAAGCAAAACTGTTTGATACAATCAAAAGCTCTACAGAACAATCATTATTTTAAAACTGCTTGAGGCACCTGTTCAGGTTACATAATCAATGGGTATGAAAATAAACATTTTGAGATATTCCTTAAGAAAGAAAGAGTTGTCCATTACATTAGGCCTAATGAAAAACTAATTGTCTTTTCTAGATACATTGAAATGTCAGACATCATCGTTTCCTGCAATCAGTGTACTTCTACATTATAAAAATAAATACAGTAACGTCTCAAGCCTTTTGGAACAATATGAAAGTTATTCCTCAGCTACCAGCACTAAAAAATCTCTCAAAAGTGGAAAATTGGTCGTTAACACGTATAGTACCTTTGGAAAATATTATATGAAAGATTGGTTCGGCTAAAAGTGGTGCAAGCCATGTAGGTGGTTTTGTTTGATCAAGATATAGCCTAGTCGAAATTGCAAATCATCTTCCTCTAGGACTTTCCGAAGCAGGCATAATAGTAATGATATGATATAGTAACTGGGTAGAGAATATCAATAAACATTCCACATCTGCAAATGCATGTTTAGTAATTAAAATATTTTACATTTTTAAGACAATTGACGATTATGCACTGTCACACTTTTTAGGTCGTGTACGTGTAAGGAATAATTGCATTTAATTTATATTTAGACCTGTTTTACGAATGCTTTGGTTTTCACAATACACCTTTATTTGTCAATATCATACAGCTATTCACTGAAACATATGTTTTTGTAAGTCAGAATATTCAATAGGTACTAAAAACAGAATTACTGTATACACAAATCAGGTCAAACGTTAAAATACATTTTTTATAGTAACCAAAACAAAATGCATTTTTCTCAATGTAATTCATTAAGGCTCCATGGCAAGAAATAGTTTATTGATCAATATGAAGCAACTGTTTCATGAAGAATTGTCTGTAGCTTCATTTAAATGGTTTCAACTTACAGCTGTAGGAATGTTATTATTATTTATTGCCTTCTCTGCACAAATGTAAACAATCTGAACAAATGTAAACAAAATAAGTGTTGAATATTTAAGGTTTTAAGAATTTTTCACCGAAACAAATATTATACTTAAAGATAATATATAAGGTACCAAATAGAAACTCTCCTGGTTATTTTGGTGGTGGAACCACACTGATCGGTAAAAGAATCACAGAGAAATTGGTGAACATACATAGAAAAAAAAAAACATCGCCACAAACAAATTGAGAACCTCCTCCTTTTGTTGGTAGTGGGGAAGTCGGTTAAAAAATTAATAGTTTACCAACAGGGTGCAGCACTATTATTTTTTTAAATTTATGATAACAGCTAATTTGCAACCAAAAGGTGAGTAAGCGTAGCAAACAAACTTCAACCAGGACGTGATTGAGCCATGTGAACGAGCTCATCTTGAAAATGAACGAGCATTGACATAAAACAACATTAGGACAGGACGACGCCTGTCGGGCCAGCTAGTAAGTTATATAATAATATAGCTTGTACGGCTAGGCAATGACACAGAAAATGCAACATCTATAAAGTGTATGGCAAGGCAATGACACAGTGTCAACGTCAGTAACTCATTTGGATAGGCAATATCACAGTAACGTCAGTAACTCATTTGGATAGGCAATATCACAGTATGACGACGTCAAAAACATATATGGATACGGATAGTCACGGATACGTAATCCCTAATTTTTGAGGGACACTAACAATTTTCAAAATCATAACATGAAACTTCCTGCTAAGTATGCACAACCACCAATAGGGTATTTCTGTATATTTACTTAAAAAATATTAGATGGGGGGAGTCTTGAATTTGTATTCACCCTGGAGTGTTACAGATGGGTAAAGATAAATCTTGTATATCGATACAGATATGGATATGGAGTTGATTTTAATTATTTTAAATATTAATTTTTTTTAATACATCACTATGACAAAGCACCTGTTCTTATTCATGAATTTTACTTTATAAAGAACGTTTTGTGTTGTTAAAATAAAAAAAAAAATTGGATCTAGGCCTATCAAAACCGGATCCTGCTCAAGATCCGATTTTTTGTGGATCCGGTAATCTGATATCCGGATCTGACCATCACTAGTTTTTATTTCTATCTAACACTACTAACTGGAATAACTATTAGGCAAATTACAGGTACTTGTGGCTTACACATGATGTAAGGGCCGGGAAGGAAAATACTTACATGGACAAGGAAAATTGGGTTAGGTCAGGAAAATGTTGGGAGGGTTCACATCTTATTTTTATTTATATGATCTGCTATATCTTGACCAGTAACCTCCTAGAAGAGAACATTATGTAGTAACAGAGGTTAATACTGTAAATAGCTTAAATAATATTAATATTCACTAGCAATTACTTTAGGCCTATGTATACAAATATACTTTTATGGCATAGATAAATCTCACACAGATGGGCCTGAACTATTTTAAAAATAACCCCACCACAGCAAACAAGCTAACTAAGCGAATTTCCATTTGTCTGATTTGATTTTCATTAAAATAAAATGTATTCCCTATTTAAATAAGGTTTGCTTCTACAGTCCAACCTCAGTATAACGAATCTGAAGGGACCGAACTGAATATTCGTTATATCAAGGATTTCGTTAAAACGAGGTTCATTATATAGAGGTTATGTTTGCAGGAATTTTGCTAAGTCGAGGTTCAGAACTAGCGTCGGTCAATATAGGTCGGGATTAGACAAAACACAATTAAAGTAGCATAGGCTACAATACTATACAGTACAGTGTTTACATTGTACAGTAGAACCTAAATTATCCGGCATAAAAAAGGGGAGGATCTTGAATATTGCGCAATCATGATAATGGCATTGACCTTGGTACAGGTTAAAAACTGTAAGTTTAAAATCACAGCTTGTTCTAACCCTCCTAAAACCTAGCCAAACACTGTATTGCGTAGTCATAAACCATGTACAGAACAAAACAAAACGTTTGTAGAAAGTTTTGTAAGCTACTGCTCGTGATAGGCCGGTAGGCTACTTACAAACAGTACTGATTCATCACAACAGAGGAATGTCAATAATAATCATTAAATATAGCATTGGTGTTGCTAGTTGAAACAAATCGTATTGAAAACAATAAATTATTAGACAAGTCATTATTAAAGTGTATAATCATAGCCAACTTAAAGATAATAAAAACACTCGAAAAAGGAATGTTAAAATAATGATGTTGCTATTCTTTCTCCCTGGTTTTGTTTTTATTCTTTCTTAGGTTTCTCTTTATCCAAAAATTGTACTATCGCCCAATCACAGCTTACTAAACATTACGTCGTCATCAGTCCTCAGTGAATGAAATCAGTTCTCAGTTGCAACATAGCGTGCGCAGCGACAGCAGACAGAGAGATGTGTAAAACGGAGCAGACGAATGTTAGCGTAAGCGATGACGTCACCTTTCATTTCATTTGATAAAGAAACAGATTTTTCAAAAACAATAATGGGGTGGGGGATTTGTTATATCGAGGGAAAGACGTAGACAATTCGTTATGCAGAGGTTAAATTCGCAATGTAGAGGTTCTGACAATGATAAATTCGCTATATTGAGATGTCTTATTTTAGCCGAAATCACGAAAAATTCGTTAAATCAAGGTCGTTGTTATGGTTTGTTCGTTATGTAGAGGTAAAATATACATTGTGTCTTATGGAGAGTTCTAGGGGATTTAAAAAAATTCGTTATATCAAGGAATTCGTTGTATCGAGGTTCGTTATATCAAGGTTAGACTGTACAAAGAACTTCATACAAACTATTTTAGTGAAATGTAAATAGCTTATAATGAAATAAAACAAATTTGAACAGGCCTAACCATAAACAAGCAAACTACAACGTCTTCTCCATAAAAATAACACCGGAATTTGATGATTTATAGTTTTTATGGATTGGTTAGCCTGAAATTTGAAATTAAAATTACACAAAGATAATAGTGTGTTCATTGAGTGTCCCCATTCTCACCCAGTACAAATTTTGATAAAATTATTACCATCCATCCATACATATCATAAAACAATATAATCTTATTAAACAACAATAATCTTATTAAAACCTGAAGATAATTTCAACCAAAGCTTTATTTGGTTTGTACCTGGGGCTGGTGCAGACTTGGGTTCTGGTGGAGGTGCTCTAGAGGGTGGCGGGGCATCAGACTTGGCAGTTCTCCACTCCTTGTCTCCACCTCCTCGGCCAGTGTCTCGTCTGATAGGACTGCGGCCACCGCCTGCACGATCATCAGCTCCTCGTCTGTGGGATAAATTTGTAAATCCATTATCAAATTTTTATGGATGAATTTCATTTCTTTAAAATAAAGTCATACTAGATTTTAACAGTTAACTTCAATTGACATCATTTCACAAGTCAAAACAGACAAAAGTGGAACATTCCACGAGTTTAACTTTTTTAGGGTAGCCTTAGCCTAGGTATAAGCACAGAAAACGTACTACAATAACCCAGAATGCCAACCGCATGGTAAAAAGCATTAAGTGTTTTGAGAGAGCTTTGCCTGTCAATTCGTAGGCAGCGCCACCAGCATTGCTATGCTGAGTGCATGGCAACGCTGGTGGCGCTGCCTATGGATTGACAGGCAAAGCTCTCTTAAAACGCTTAATGCTTTTTACCATGCGGTTGGCATTCTGGGTTATAGTAGAACGTTTTCTGTGGTATGAGGTACTTCAGTAGAGGTCATCTTTGATGCACGGAAAATATCGATACGATACGGTTATGGCCTAATTTCTGCTATCTGTTTGGTAAAATATTTCGTCAGTACAGCCTACAATAGTTAATTACTTTCTACTATCTAGTCAAAAAGTAGTTTTTATTAAGTCAAACAGTAAAACTAGTGAGACACGTCAGATTTTGTACATTGGATTAACATGGTTGCCACACAAATTGAGCAGAAGACACTCCGACGTGTAATGTTTACAGTTTGTCTGATGTGATTGTGATCATGTTTACGTCGGACAAACTGTGCACTTTATTACATCTGCATGGAGTAACAACAAACCAGAAAGATCAAATATGTAGCACAATACTTGCAACAAAATGGCAACTTATTAGGGTTACCCTGATGGCCAAAACCAGAAACAAGAATACCAAAGAGTTCCTTTACCTGGGAGGTCCTCTTGAGTCAGAATCTGGTTCTGAGTCTTTATTTCTCCAGCTACTATTGGGCTAAAACAAAAAGAATTAAGATTATTTTTAATTCCCGCTAGTTAATACAGTATAGTGTTAGTGTAATGTAAAACAAAATTTGTGTAATGAGCTAACTACTAGTTATAGACTAGTGCTGCTGACATAAAATTGAATATACTCCTATTCGTTTAATTAATTAAAGGGAAGCTTCTGACTTATGATTAAAAGATATGACACATAAAAATTTTTTTAGGGATGGTCGTCTCGAAATTTCGGGAAATTTTAAATTTTATTATACGAGACGAGATTTCTTTTTGATCGAGAATGCAATACAGAAGCGCGTTGTAGTTTCATTTCCTTTGCGAAGGCGTTCTTAATTAATTAATTCTTTACATGTTAATATTACTTTATTATTTTATCATTTGAGAAGTTTTGTTAAGTGTAAGCAGTGTGAGGCATGTTTTACTACTATAAACAAAGCCAAAACAAGTAACTATTTTATACAAATTAATATTGCTTTTGTTTTATGATTTATTTTATTTTAGGATAAGTTTAACTATAATCCATATTTTCTAGCCCCTGAGCTTGTTCTATAACTAAATTGAAATATTACCTTCGTCAGCCAGCTCTTGTATTGTTACCAATGTTACGGCCGTTTCAGCATCACTGTGCCATAATCAGACTGTTCAACCGAAAGGCATCGTTATAACACAAAAACAATTTTACATGAAACACACATAGTCATAACGGGGTTTTAAAAAACAGGCCTGTTGAGGAACATACATTTCCGCACTCATACAAGAGCTGGCTGACGAAGGTAATATTTCAATTTAGTATAAGTTTAACTCTATCCTAACTGATATCACCATGTTTCCTAATCGTAAGCACTTTTAATAACTTTGGCATAATTAATATACATTTTTTAAGCTGATGTTTTTAAATAAAAGATTTTAAATATTCTAGCCTATTATTATTATGTAACATAAATCAGCATTTTTTTATTTAAACAGTCATCTAACAATGTTAAAAATGTCGAACGTGCATTTCCCGTTGTGTATGAGAAGGGAAATTCCGTCTAGAAATTTTATGAGACATAAAAAACCTCGTCTTGAACTAAAAATCCAATCTCATCCATCCCTAACAAAATATGTAAATAGAAATCTTGTAAACTGCCTATATTGCAAAGTAAAATCTTATCTGTGATTAGTCCAAATATCTCTACTATACCTGACCGAGAACCAAATATTAGGCAATTTTTCAGAACCTGAATGGTCAAGCAGGTATCCAATCCACTAACTACGTTTACCTGACTGAGTTGGAAAACCAGCATGATTGGACTAAGGTTTTATGGGGTTAAAATCGGTTCATCCCATTTTCACTCCCAAATTAAAAAAGCTGTACATTTTATTCTAGACCATTTTGTAGGACTTAATGAAAAATAATAAAAAATATATAAATTTAATCTTCCTTTGTTGTTCTTGTAGAAAAAAATAAACAGTTGCAATATGTTCTTTTATTGATAACCTATATTTTGACAACATTTGGCCATTTCAATCATACAAAATTATTAATATTTCAGACACAAAAAAAATATATCTATTGTATTATTGAACAGCAAATCTACTTTTCAAACCTAATAATTTTATTTAATTGGGGAATAGATCTAGCATTTAAGAGTAAATATTTTGATAAAACTCCAATCAGGCAAATACAAATTTACTGATCTGGATATTTGTTGCAGTGGGGGTATTTGAAATATGTTACTTACTCTGTCCCTTTCAGAAGGCCTGTCATAACTCCTGCCAAAGCCACCAGCTTTGTCCCGATCATCCCTGTCTCTAAACCCTCCTCCTCTGTCCCGACCAAAGTCTCGATCACGGTCTCGGTCACGGTCCCTATCCCTAGCATAGTCTCTATCCCTGCCATAGTCCCTATCTCTGTCTCGATTAAATCTATCTCTGTCATCTCTGCTATCCTCTGGGGGTCTTCTTTGGTCATCATCTCTTCGGTTGGACAATGACTCTAAAAAAAAACATTTACTTGTTAAACAGTATTCAACATCCAAACAGATGCTATTAATAGTAGAGCACAGTGACATTGTAAAATGTTGTTCACAGATGTTTTGAGCACTTTATTGATAGTTAAATTGTCTATTTTTCACTTTTTGGCTTGTAATCAATTATCTTTGGCTAGGAAATCAGCTTATGTTGATCAGTAACCAAGCTAAATAATAATTTATGGTTAAATTCATCATTTTTATCATTCCAAACTCACTCTCATTTCCCATTTTTTACCCCAAAACATGAAAATTCTTTCCTTGGGAACTATTTTATAGAGCTTAAAATTGTTATATTGGTTAAACACAGAACATAGAACTATAAATTTACATTTCTTAAATTTGTTTATTTCATACTAAGCTAATATTATTAGTAAAATAGTAAAGCTTATTTGGCATTATTTCAGTAAGAGTGCAAACGGGTAAATGGAAATTTACTTAGCTTAGGTGTGCTGTGGCAGGGGTATTTCTATGCATCTTTTGGTGTATCTGGGCTCAAATTCACTATGTTTCTATAATTGATTTTTTTATTACAGCCTGAACTAAGTTTAACTTTATGAATGTCTTAGGAGTGATATAAAAAGCATATAGAACCCTAATAATATGTTGTTTTTTTGTATTATTGTAAAAAATTAAAATAATCACTAAAAGTTACAACTAAAAGAATCAATTCTATTGAGCTGAAACAAATGATTGAAAAAACTAACAGAAATATATATATATATATTTACTATCAACATTTTGTCACTTACTAGGTTTCCAGACTTGATCGCTAGCTTTGGCTTCTCCCCGTCGCCATGAGCCGGTATCCTCTGTCCTCTCAAAGCCTCCTCCTCCACCACCTCGGATTGGTCTTTTGTCCTCTTCCTTCAATCCTCCACTACGCCAAGCCTTCTCCTTCTCCTCCAGTCTACGCAGAGACTCCTCCTCTCTTTGACGAGCAATCTCTGCTTGCTTGTCTCTCGCCTCCTTCTCCTTCCTACGATAAGTCTGAATTTAACGTCTGACTTTTTAATGTTATGAACTTTAATATTTAAGTAGATATTAAATAATAGCCGATCCAAGTTAATTTAGCCTACCTGCTTTAGTTTTTGTTAAAGTCTACAAACTTATAAAGTAGAAATCAATTAAATCAACAAACCTGTATCGCTCATCCTCTTCAGCTTTGCGTTTGGCCTCAAGCCTCTCTTCTTCCTCTTTTTTTAGCCTCTCTTCCTCTTCTTTTTTTCTTCTTTCCTCTTCTTCTTTTCTCTTTTCTTCTTCTTCCCGCTCTCTGATCCACGCAGCTCGTCTCTCTTCCTTCCTCTTGGCTTTCCTTTCCAACAAACGCTTCTTCCTTTCTTCAGACATTTTAGCTTCAAATTCTTTTAATTTTTCCTAAAACAACAATTGATTGTTATGTGATAAAACTGTCACTAATGCAACATCGTATGTTGTTTTAAAACTAAAATAACTAGTTGATTTGAATTGTATTTAAATAACATACAAGACAGTTAAGTGTTTTTTGCATATTCAGTTTTACTGGTTAAACTGTAGGCCTAACGTCTAAATATCTGATTTCAACCTGGTATGCCGCATTTCTTTGTGCTTTTAGTTTCTCAATGAGGGCATCTCGGTCTGGATGCATTCGAGCCAGTCTTTCTCTATGTCCAACAGCCAACTTCCTCTCAGCAATCACCATCGCAATTCTCTCTGCCTCTTGTTGCTCCCAAAACTTGCGATCTAGTACCTGGCAAAACCAATTACAAATCAAGACAGAGTTTACACACATTTACTGAATAAAACGAGGAAAAAAACAAGTTACAGAAATATTAACAGCCCAACAGAATCATCTACATTGCAAAACTCTTCAGACAACTATATAGGTTAACACTATATTTCACTCAAGACTTAAGTGGGCTGGTTGCGTTTTGTGGGTATTTGGCCTTGGGGGCATACTTGGGAATAACAAATATAAATTCTAACGATTAGCGATATTCGTTAGTTTCTTCGGCTTACTTATATCATATTCGTTAGTTTTTAAAAAATATATCATATTCATTAGTTTTTAAAAAGTACTGAAAAAAACTTCTACCCAGTTAGATTTTAGCTAACAAATAGTTAATGTACTCGTTAGTAGTTTTGCAGTTCAAATAGTTAGATTTTTTGACAGGCGGAAGCACCTCAAAAACAAGTTTTTTTGCGCGATCAGTGAGGGTTGTGTGCGGCCGTGAGGGTCAGCGCCCTTGTTGAAAAACAATGTGGGGGTGGGGAAGGGGAATGTCCAGTTGCTTTGGAATTTGGTATGCATTTTGACCATGGGGGGCAGTGGCAGCCACTAACAACACCAAGGGGTCAGAAGGGGGAATGTTTGTTTGGTGATTTGTCATCTCAATACATTGTCTTTTCCTAGTTGATGTTCATTCTCAAGTGTGAGAAGTAATTTTTTCTGTGGTAGTAACCTTAACCTGCGATATTCTACTCCTGATTAACCAGGATAAAGTATGGGTGAGGCTTCCTGGATACGTAAAATCACGGTTAATCAACAAAATACTATTGAGTATTGAAATACAATACAGTACAGTATTAAATTATGGTAATTAACATGTTTACATTACACTAAAACATAACTGAATGTTATATCTGATAGAAATCACAATGACACTCGTAAGGTTGATCTGGCCTTTAAGATCAAATAACATATTTACAAGACACAAACTACCATGAATCTTGAAAATTATCTGTAACATTTTTCTGTTTTGGAACAAATAAATATATTTTTCCTACAGTTACCTAACAATGTACATGTTCTCTCACTGATTTGAGAAAGCAAAGTGGCCAATTCGCTCATTAGTGAGACAATGTTAACATTGTCTCACTCTAATTACTTTGTCTCACTCCAGATTTGCAACGTGAAGGCACGAAATAGTGAGCGTGTAACATGCAGACAAGGTCGTATGCGCGCGAAATACGTTGGCAGCACTGGCTGTAAATCAGCTGGTCAGCTGTTGTACTGTTGTATCTTTAAATGGCATATTAAAAGTTCACTTCTGTGCAAAAATATGTTACGTTTCTTTACCAATTTATTTGTTTTATGGTAACGGTAGGAAAAATATAATGTGCAACTCGAGTGCAAAGTGCAATTGCCTCACTCGAGAAACCATTCCTCACTCGCCTATGGCTCGTGACTAAGTATTTCTCTCGAGTGAGTCAATTGCTCACTAGTTGCACAAATAACTATTTTTACTCTACTTTTCATGATTGGAGCATTGTATTGCAAACTGGGTAAGAGGGGGGGGGGTCTATGACCTTGAGTGGGCCTGGAGCCTGACTGGTGACAATGATTTGTTATTTATTAGTATGTTTACATCTTAACTGCTCTTCCTACCCAGAAAGAGACACTGTGGTTTCAAAAACATTGACTTGTGTTGGTAATAAAGACCCTCTGTCTACATTTAATTTTACTTATTTTTTCCGGAACGTGTCCCGGTTGAGTGTACATGCTTTAAGCTTTCTTAGTTGTTATTTGTTATATTTTATTGATAGTTAAGTAATAGTTTTTAATAAGTTATTAAGGTAGTATGACAATATTTAATTATTAATAACAATAATAACACAATTAGTTACCAAGATATGTCATTATTTAATTTCATATGAAATCCTCAAAAACAACTGCCCAACAAACAGTTAACTTCTCCGAAAAGTAACTTTATTTTTTGGCAGAGGATACACGTCCGGTAACCAGACGTGGATTAGACGTCCGGCAATTACTGTCATAACCTAACCTAACCAACCAAACTTGCTGATGATGAAAAAATCGAATTAAGGTTAAATTCTTTCTCTATTAATAAATTATAAATGCCAAAAATTCTAATAAAAGATGTACAGTTAAGAATAAATGGTATTCAATGCAAAATCTTCGACAAAAAGTTAAAGTCACCAATGGGACTCGAACCCTGGACCTCTTGCATATCAGCCGAGCATCTTAACCACTACACCACAATCACCGATGGCTGGTCATGGTATTGTTGTACTAAAGGCGTTCCAGGCTCCCGCAACCCCATGACGTCATTGCCGTACGCCTTATCCACGTCCGGTTACCGGACGCGTATCCTCTACGTTATTTTTTATCAGTTAGTTTTTTTTTAGTTCTGCCATTCTGAAAACATCACTACAGTGATGCTGCCACTGAAACTATATTAGAAAACCATAATAATAAAGAACAAACCTCCTTTTCTTCAAATGCTTTTTTCATGAGTGGGATTTCTTCTAAACGCTTTGCTCGTTCAAAGTAATCTACTTTCTTTTCCTGAGATTTGAGTTTTTGTTGCATTTCTTTTCTTTCTTTCTGCAGTTCTTCAGCTTCTTTGGCTGCAATTTGTTCGGCATCCATTTTTTTCATATCCTGAAAACAGTAACTCTCACTGAAAAATAAGCACAAATAGGGCATGGGCAATCTAATTGTAAAATTAGTTGTTGAAATCTTTTTTAATGAAGGCATAGTTATTAAACAATTCAATGCCCTTGAGGCAATCGTACAACTATCCAGAGGTTTTGAAATTGGGCCTAAACCCCAATTATTACTGTACTGTAATTACTGTACCATGGCTTAGAGCCTAAAGGGGTTGTTTTTAAAACTATTGTCACTTAGTAAACTGTTTGACCAGTTTGACCAACCTCTTCCTCCAGCTTCTTGAGAACCTTCTGGCCATGAGCAGTCTGTGAGATCTGCTGCATCTTCTCCTTGAGATGTCTGTCTCGTATCTGTTGGATCTCGTTCTCATGTCGCTTTCTCTCCCTCTCTTGTCTTTCCTCCTCTTGTCTACGATGCTCTGCCAGAGCCTGTTGTCTGGCCAGCTCCTCCTGCCTGCGAGCCTCCTCCTCTTCCTGTATGCAAACCAGAACAATTGAAAGACTCTAAGCATGAAAGTAATGTAAAAAATACAAAATGCAAAAAAATCTCCATCTCTATTAACAAGTTGCACTATATTATGATCTACTTTTGTGATCGAGGCGATCAAGTGGCAATGAGTAGCTTGTGATCATGGTATCATTTTAAAAACTACTCATGTTTAATATAGTGACATTTTACTGCAAAAGTGGCAATAGACCTACTGAGGCTACTTAAATCATTAGGCTATGAAGACATGTCAAAACTCACTTGTACTTTCAGATTTTTTGTGCTTTACAGTACTACATTATTAGCAGCAAACTTTACGGTAATTTGCACATTTGGGACAAAATGAATTAATTTCCACCCAAAAAGTAGGAAAATAATATTATGAAAGTTACCTAATTTTTAGCTTTGAACACCTCAAATGTGTCTGTAAAGGGTAAGCTGGACTCACCCTGACAGTGTTCATCCTCTCTAGGAACTCCTTGCGGTCCTCAATGATCTTGTGCCGGGCCAGGATACGCTGGTGCTCCTTCACCTTGGTGTCCATGTAGTGTTGCACCATCTGGGCTCTCAGTCTGTCACGTTCTGTCTGTAGCATAACCAACCACAGATTGAAATCAATACTATTTTGTGATGCAAGACACAAAACAGGTAAATACTTATACAAGGTTTTCAATCTGATGAACTTCCACAGCATTTTTATAATGTACAACTCCAACAGTAGGCCTATACTGGATCTATAATTGAGACTGGAGTCAATCTGGATAGTAAAAAATCTGCTTACTTGGACTTTCAATAAAAATAAGTATATAGGACAGAGGCAAAGGTATCATCGTCCGCCTATTGATACGACACTACAATAGACTCGCTACATGGACACAATTAGGCACATGATAAAACTGCAATAAACTTAAATTTTTGGAAAAATTTATTTATTTTATCCCCTTGAGGTAGTTTCCTCAAAAGTGCTTATGTGTTATTATTTTTTATGTATATCTTCTGTGACTTAAAAATTTAGTTTTGCACTGGATGAACTTTAATTTTTAATTAGCCTATGTACAATTAAATAATGGTACGGTAACCTCATTAAAGGTTCTACCTAGCCTATATTTTTGTTTTCCATCATTTATGTAAATATACATTGTAGCCTAATGTTCATTAATATAGAAAATAAACTGATTTCATTTCCTTTGAAGGATCACATGCAACAAGAACAGTAAAGGTATTGGTATTATTATGTTTGTAAGTCACACTCAAACGTACAACTTTTCAACATACCATTTAGATCTTCCATAAAGTTATACTGTATGTCGCCACAAGAAATTTAAAGTGAATGCTATAAAATTCAGCATAGGCCTAAATAATTTTCCCAGTGGCATTAGGCTATTGCACAGGATTATTATCCTAAAGACATGTTGCCAAAGGACAGATCAAACTGTGCTAGCATTGCTTCACATCATATGCAAATTAAAAGAAACCTCACCTATCCAATCGTCTTAAGTAATTGACACCTCTTCATCATACAGTACATTTTTATCGTCAGACCTTGATTAAAATATGGGACATAGCTCTTCTAGTGTTTTCACAAAAATGCCATTTTAATAGATATGCATAAATTTGTTCTTTATTTTGATTCAAACTTTATATGTGTAAGCAAATTTTCCATTTAAAAAATTAGCTATTGGCCTGGGACCGATTTAATTTTCATTTTGATGTCCCCAGAGGCTAAAAACACCATCCGTTAAAATTATATATATGTGATATGTGTGCCTAACTTGAGCAAAAATTATCCGATTTTGATTCTAATAGACACAAACGTGTAAAACGACTTTTATTCAAACGGGTTTGCAAACCAGCATGATCGGATTATGGGAAGTGTTGTATGGGGAGTTTTATGGGGTACTAATTGGATTTCCTATTTCGACCAACAAAACTTAAAAAACAAATACATTTAGTATACTGAAGCGTTGTTGTATGCTTAACAGTTACGACGAAAATTCCAAAAAAGTATAAATTTAAAGTTTCCGAATCTTATTTTTTAGGGAGAACAAGAACTGTTATAGCTTGCTTAAGTGTATAGATATAATTTAGAATCCAAATTTGAAAAAAAATTTCATTGGTATTTTATACTAAGCTATTAATCAACATTTCAATAATAAAAACCCACTTTCACCTTCCTACCTGCAGCAAAAGTAAGTACTCATTAAAATTAACTAGAAGCAAAACCTGGCTATGCCTGTGTAAAATTATACAATGTACTATAAATGGATATAAAATTAATTTATTTTCTGTTTTCATAGATGTACACATATCTGGGTACTATTAAATCTGAAATGAAATTAAATGAAAATGATCTATTTAAACAGGCAAAGTTAGGGCCACATGGCCCTCCCTTACACTTAACCTGTAAATCTAGAAATGTATTAAATATTCTTTTCCTACAGTCACCCGACAAAGTTGGCTTCTTTGTACTGTTTATAGTACAGAAAGCTGCTAATTGCTGCATATTTATACTTTGTCGTACGGTTTAAACATTGGCGCACATCAGGATTCCAACGAAACAACAAAAAAAAAAAAAACAGCGTGGTTCTATTATGCACATAATCCGTGTACGCTTGGAAATAGGTTGGCAACACTTAAAGATAAAATACTATGAGCAGCTGATTGACTATTATAACTACGATTTAACCTGTCATTTCGTGTTTATAGTTTCGGTATTTCTGAACTTTCTGGACTTTTCTTTTAAACGTTTTTAAAACATTCCTACGATCTTAATAAACAAGAAAATACCTTTAAAGCATTTTTTTAGGCGCGGAAACCACTTCAAATTACAATAACATACGGAACTATTTTCTCAAGTCTAATATATAAGTATATCGCCACAAAACTCCTTCCTTTAACCGAACATTGTTAAGGTTCGGTGCACATTGCTTGCCGGGGAAAAAATAGCGGAGTGATACGGACCGGTGACTACTTTCTCAAGGGCACCTATTTGTGTTGCCAGCTGAACCTAAAAACGTGTTGTATATTGTTTGAAAGACTAATTAGTTATATGCTTTATAGTGACAGTAGGAAAAATATAATGTGTAACACGAGTGCAAAAGGCCTTTGCTGCACTCGAGATCATTCCGCACGAGCCGGGATTGCTCTCGTGTGCAGCAAAGTGCCACTTTGCTCACTAGTTACACAAATAACTATTGTGGCACAAGTTTCCCCAATATAAATTGAACTAAAATATTAACAGTAATTATGTTATCCAGCTGATCATAATGTAAACAAATATGTTCCTCATAAGGATAACATGGGGACTTAAAAAGCCACTGGGGCAGACCACAAGTGACTTTAAAAAATGTTAAATCAGTTTGTGCATCTACACACCTAGTCGGACATTTTGGTATATAATATGTGGGGTTAAATCTAAAAAAAAAAAAAAAAAACTCTTATTGTATACAAAGTTTCATGTAGCATATTAATAATATAGATGTTATTTAAGTAGCATGTAATTTCCATACTAACACTGGCAAAAGCACTGAAACATGGGAATGTAATGTCTAATTTACGATGGTATAGGCCTCAACTGAGTAATACCATGTACATACCTTGTGCAGGTTGGGGTTGATGACTTGCATGGAGCGGTGCAGCACATTGAACATGTTTACCAGCTGGTTGCGCACCTGTTCACTGGGCATGTCCTGCAGTGTGGGCCCCTCGGGGTGGTCCTCTCTCTGAGACTCTGACAGATCAATGCCAAAGTGAACACAACCTGTACTGTGCTCTATACGGATCTGGCAAACATACCACAACACAAGTTACAAGCTGTGTAACAAACAATCCTTGGGTAGAATGACTGAATCTTCATCAGAAGTAGCTGGTTTAGTCCTCAAATTGGATCAGATATCCGCAACAACTAATCATCATTGAGACACTTATTTGACACTTGTTAGATGTCTCAGCTATATTTAGTTATTTTTTGCAAAAATCTAATTTAGGGCCTACATATAAAATTTAGAGAAAATTGCAAATTTTTACTATTTATCATTGTAACCGAAAAACATGACAACCGATAGTCACTAAACATGTGCGCTGAATAACAAAAACAAATTTAAAAGTAAATAAAATTTTGGATAGAAAAACTAGCCTACATGTAGAACCATGACTTACCTGCATGTCGTTATGACGCACACATTCTACCAAGAGTCTCTCAAGACGGAATGGTGTGGTGAATTGAGCTAGCTCCAGCAGACGACAGAACTGAATGGTCTGATACACCTGAGACACCTGTCTGATGAGCCTGACTAGGGTGACCTCCTGTAGAGGGGGGATGTACTGACGACTCTCCTCTCCCACCAGACCATCACACACAGCTTGTACTTGGCGACAAAGGGTCAATGGGGAGAAATCCACCTCTAGAGAGTTGTAGAGTTCCTGCAGTGGAGGTGTGGCCAGCCCCACCACATTCAGACGCACCTGTGCATTTCAGAATATATAATAGGTCTGAGAAAGTGCTCTTGAGATTTGACATGACTTAAGACAATTTGATGGAAAAATAATGTAAAATACTGGTATATAAAAAGAAATGTCAAAAATAACACTTGGTGTTTTTCTGATGAGTATTTTAACTTACAATGTCTTTGAGCAGAGAGGCTCGTGTCGGAGGCTGGGGCAGAGTGAGCAGTACTGCCAACCGCTGAGCCTTCTCCAGGGGGCTCTTGTCAGTCTCAATGAACCTGTCAAATTCTGGGTGGGCCGATGGAAGTGGAATAGCCAATGTTGCCAACAACACCCGACTGGCCATTCTGGAACATAAATTACCGCATTAGAACTACCTCATGTCACTGGATTTAAAAGTTCCTACTATCATTTCTCAAAGGTATTCAACAATTTTTAATACATCTACATAACTATAAATGGAATAATTATCTTAATTTGAATTGTAGAGAAATCAACTAATCTCGGTTTAATACCTTTATGTTAGTAATAAAGAAAATTAACTGAATTTGTGTACTGACATTGTTCCTGTATAATATTATTATTATGTTAAGAGTTCAAAGCTACAGATGATTAGATAATAAAATAGTAATGTTAAATGCTAATCATCTCTATGTTTATAATAATTTAAAAACTGCAACTTTTTATCAGCTCAATACTGTCTTTGTCTTTAAAAATTCACTTCACAATTTTATTCTTAAAAAGTATTGATAGGCATCCTAAATTGGGGCTGTATTCCAGCATTTATCCAGTTTATTAAAAATTAAAAATGTATATTTCCAAAATAAATTTATTTGATCTATATTTATCAGTGCCGGATTTACCACTAGGCCGATTAGGCCCCGGCCTAGGGCCGCAAGCAAAAAGGGGCCGCAGAGGATTGAGAAAAACATTTTTTTTCATAAAAAAAATTATTTAATTTAAACCACTAATTTGCCGCAATCACAGGTGACCATAATGATGTCTCCGCGGACCGAGGGAGATGATCACAATTTTGCCGTGGCCGCGGGTGACGGTGATGATGTCCCAGTGATTGCAGCCCGCGGGAAACGTTCACGGGCCGCGGGTGACGGTGATGTGTCCTCATGATCGCAGCCCACGGGAGACGTTCAAGAATTAGCCGCTGTCGCGAGTTGTCAATGATGATTTCCCCGTGATTGCGGCCCGCGGGAAACGTTCACGGGCCGCGGGTGACGGTGATGTGTCCTCATGATCGCAGCCCACGGGAGACGTTCAAGAATTAGCCGCTGTCGCGAGTTGTCAATGATGATTTCCCCGTGATTGCGGCCCGCGGGAAACGTTCACGGGCCGCGGGTGACGGTGATGTGTCCTCATGATCGCAGCCTACGGGAGACGTTCAAGAATTAGCCGCTGTCGCGAGTTGTCAATGATGATTTCCCCGTGATTGCGGCCCGCGGGAGACTTTCACGATTTAGCCGTGGCCGAGGGTGACGGTAATGTGTCCTCATGATCGAAGACCGCGGGAGACGTTCAAGAATTAGCCGCTGTCACGAGTGTCGATTCTTTTAACTTTATTTAACATTTTCTGTAGAATATTTAATATTTTATATAACATATGTAACAAAACATGTTGACCTTGTCTATTGTAATGTTTATATTACTAAACGACAATAAAGATTTATTATTATTATTTATTGTAAAAGTTAGGGCCACATGGACCTTTCTTACACTTAACCTATCATAAATATAACACATATATTTTAACAATTACATCAATATACAACAAAACAAAATTTAAATCATGGATACAGAAACTTTAAACGTTGATGATGATGTCCCCGTGATTGCGGCTCACGGGAGATGTTAACGATTTCGCCGCGGCTAAAGGTGTCAATCCCGAGTGGGATGTTTACGTTTTGGCACGGCCGCGGGTAACAATGATGATGTCCTCATGATCTCAGTTTTCAAGAGATGTTTTCAATACGACTTTGCCGCATTCGTAAGTGTCGATGATGATGTCCCCGTGACTGCTGCTTCGCGGGTGGTGTTTACGATTTTGCCATGGTCGCGAGTGTCGATGATGATGTCCCCGTGATTGCGGACCGCGGGAGATGTTCACGATTTTACTGCGGTTGCGGGTGACGGTAATGATGTCCTCAAGGTCAAAGCTCACAGAATATGATGACGATTTCGCCGCGGTTGCGAGTGCTGAGGATGATGTCCCTTTGTTGCAGCCCACGGGGGATGTTTACGATTTTGCCGCGGTCACGGATACCTATGATGGCTTTGACTTGGTTTAAGAAAGATGTCTACGATTTCATCCACGATCACGGGTGTTGATGATGATATCTCCTTGATGCATAGGAGATATTCACTATTACTTCCGCGATCGCAAGGAATTTCCACCACAGAGGGAGGGCCGCTCAAGTAATTTGGCCTAGGGCCGCAAGTACCCTAAATCCGGCACTGATATTTATTGATAAATGTATTTCATACAGTATAGCTAATCATTTGCAACCTGACAAACTTATTTTTAAATGTCAAGACATTTCTACTACCACGGTTGTATAATGTTATCAGCCAAACAATGACCAGAATAAATTAAGCAACTTTGGTAGTTTCACCAAAACCACTAAATAAAACTTTTATTAATATACCAACCGCTGCAATTCATCATGAGTCATGTTTTTTTTCATGTCTTTGCTTAGCTGGAAGAGTTTAAACAGAGCAGCAGCATGAAAGAGGTAATAACCGGCCTTCCAGAAAACCATTGCTAGCTTATGGTAGTAGTTGGCCATTGTCTTGGGCACTGGTGGTTTCTTTGACAAATTCATTAGCCCATGGATGTCTTCAATTGCTTTGTAAGCTTCCTGCCACAGTTCCATCTGAATGGCACAGTCGAGCTGTACCAGCCTGGTGTCCAAGTTGAACTGTTGGGTCTCTGGTTTGGTGAGACTGACATTGGCCGCCAACACTGGTAACTTGCCAATGTCCTCCAGATGCTTACGCAGCTTCTCACACAACTTACGAAACTCTGTCTTACGGTTGTACTTGAGACAAAACTGGTATGCCTGTAAACAAAACATTGACTTTTAAAACTAAATATACATCAAGGTCAATAAACGATGACACTTGCTAATTAATTTCCATTTAATTGATTAAGCAGGAAACAAAAAATAGCATAAGCTTTCTGTTTACTAAGGTCTATACAAAGCAAAATAACTCACTACAAGAAAGAATTTTTAACGTTTAGCACAATACAGATACAATTTTAATTTTAATATTTATTCAAATTATTTTTGATTAGTCATTAAAGATTTGTTGAATAAAAAGAGCACTATTTCAGTAACAGCTAATCTTCAAAGACAAATCAGATATCCGCAACATATATATTCATCATTAATAGTGCTGAATAGGAGGTGTGTGCGATGCAGCTTTCATTCAGATTTGATGCTATTCAATAGTTATTTGTGTAACTAGTGGTGAAAGTGGCACTTTGCTGCACACGAGCGGCGAGTGCGGAATGATCTCGAGTGCAGCAAAGGCCTTTTTCACTCGTGTTACACATTATATTTGTCCTACAGTCACTATAAAGCATATAAATAATTAGTCTTTCAAACACTATACAATACGTTTAGGTTCAGCTAAGAACACAAATGGTGCCTTAGAGAAAGTAGTACCCGCGGTCCGTATCACTCCGCTATTTTTCCTCGGCAAGAAATGTGCTCCGCGTTTTGAGAATATAGTTCCGTATGTTTTTGTAATTTGAAGTGGTTTCCGCGCCTAAAAAAATGCTTTATAGGTATTTTCTTGTTTATTAAGATCGTAGGAATGTTTTAAAAACGTTTAAAAGAAAAGTCCAGAAAGTTCAGAAATACTGAAACTATAAACACGAAATGACAGGTTAAATCGTAGTTATAATATTCAATCAGCTGCTCATAGTATTATTATCTTTAAGTGTTGCCAACCTATTTCCAAGCGTACACGGATTACGTGCATAATAGAACCATGCTGTTTTGTGTTGTTTCGTTGGAATCCTGATGTGCGGCAAAGTATAAACCGTACGGCAAAGTATAAATATGCAGCAATTAGCAGCTTTCTGTACTATAAACAGTACAAGGAAGCCAACTTTGTCGGGTGACTGTAGGAAAAAAATTTTGATTCAAACCTATGCGATTCAATGCAGCGTGGCATGATTTTCTTGCAAAATTATTTATTACTTGCGTTACTGTAATAGATCATTTACCTTAAAAAATGTATTAGGCCTAAATAAACTTGTTTGTGAACAAGAGGATAGCTGCTGACCTAACCTCCTGCTGATAGACACTGCTGATTTTATGGTTGGGCTAAGAAAATCCACACTTCACTAACAATTTGAATAAGCCTATACCAAAGCAATTGTCATTACTATTGACTTGTATTAAGTTAAAAACAATTGAGTTTATTTTGAATACGAAGTAACTTTATTTCCACTTTATATTGTTAGCTTTCTAGGATCAGGACAATCCAAAAAAATTAATAACTGTAATCAGCGTTTATTGTCTATTTAATACATAATTACATATAATATGTAGTAAATACCCCCGCCGCAGCAAACCTGCAGACTAAGCGAATTTCCATTCGACTGATTGGATTTACACTGAAATGTCTACTTAAAAATATAACATTTATTCCCGATCTAAATAAAATTAGTTTAACAAGTACTAGGTTTGCTGCATCAGGGAGGGTAAAACTGTTTTTTTTTTATGTGAATAGTTAGTAAGAAATAAAAGCATTTTCCAAATTTGATCAAAATATGTTCACAAACAAGCAAACTACAACAGTTTACTTATTCTCCATGGGAAATTTATAAAACATGGGAATTTTAAATTTACAATTTTTTGGAATTTTCTCCGTAACCATTAGGCGCATAATAACTCTTCAATATACTAAATTATTTGTTTTTTTAAGCTCTACAAAATGGTTTGGAAAGAAATTGCTAAATTTTATGTTTTTTGGGTCAAAAATGGGAAAAACCTATTTTTACCCCGTAAAACCCCCCGTAAACCCCCGTTCCCATGGTCCGATCATGCTGGATTGCGAACTCGTTCGAATAAACGTACGTTTACACGTTTGTACCAAATTTCATCAAAATCGGATTATTTTTGCTCGAGTTATCGTGCTGACGGACACATATATATATATATATATGAATTTGAACGGATGGTGTTTTTGGCCTCTAGGGACCTCAAAACAAAAAAAAAAAATCGGTCCCGCGTCCAGGGCTTACCATGAGTACTACGGTAATAGCTTATTCCCTATATGGGAAATTCGCTAATAAGTATGAAATTAAAACTAAAAATTTAAATTAATAAAAAATGTTAAAATTGCTTTGAGCATTCATTTTGGACTAAATGCATCTTGTGATTCAAAAATACCTATGCATCCGGATTGCATCGGTATTTCGATGCATACTGATTGAAATTGAAATTTTATGCATTTTTGATGCATTGCACACTACTACTGAATTGTAACAGGTATTCAGTAACATAACAGTAGTAACAGGTTATACAGGTACAATTAATTTCAATATTTATTCAAATTACGGTTTGGCTATTGAAAGTTTATTAAATGAGCACTATTTCAGTAACAATTAATCCTCAAGATACTTCAGATATCCGCAACATGGATTCATCAATAATAGTGCTGAATGGTAAAAAAAAATCTTTTTAAATTTACTAATGTACAATGTACTCGCTACCATGGTGTCTACTAAATCTGGTTAGAAAAATGCACACCACAGCTGAATAGTAGTAGTGTGGCACTTTTAAGTAGAACATTAATGATGTACCAAGTGCTTCAATTGGTTAAGCTGAAAGAAAAATTATATAGGAATTAGATTTACTATAATTTTTACTTAAAATGACATAGAAAATTAAATCAATTAGCCTACATCAGAAAAAATCTAAGATTTAAGTTTAGCATAAAACAGGTAGGCTACAATTAATTTCAATATTTATTCAAATTAATTGTAATAGGTTTGGGCATTGAAATTTTATTAAATGAGCACTATATTTCAGTAACAAATCTTCAAGAAACTTCAGATATCCGCAACATGGGTTCATCAATAATAGTGTTGAATGGTAAAAATTAATCATTTTAAATTTACTAATGTACAATGTACTCGCTACCATGGAGTCTACTAAATCTGATATAAAAAATTCAAGGAGTTTTCCAGGAGAATTCAAGAAAAATTCCTGAATTTTAAGAACAACTATCCGAACCCTACTTTAAGCTTCATCACAACGTTTTACATTAAGTAAAAACTTTTAAAAGATTTTAAAAAGAAATTCATCATTTTGATCACATACGGTAAATGCATTTAACTACAGAAATAGTAAGTTAGAAATTGTATTAGGCTATTTTTTTTAATGACTGGTAGGCACTATAACTTTGAAACAAAACTTTCCAAACAATAATATTTTATAGGCCTATAACATATTAAAACAATATAACTGATAGGTAAGGCGACACCAGTTATCATCTCACGCAATTGCGGGAATACCAGTGAGCATGAGCAATTATCAGCAATATTTTCATCATCATATCTTGCAGTCTCGGCGACACCGATAATAGTCTCCCTCTATTGGGACAAGAATTCCTTCTACCTTACACCATAATTCCACAGATTTTATTGACTTCACCAGCCAACCACAGTAAACTGTACCTGACTTAAGATAACATATTTGGAAAGATTTTTAAAATGTGTTCAAATTTAAATATTGCTATCGAATTATATTCAACTTTCTATAGGTTTACTTATTTTTTTAAATTCAATTTATGAGGGCACTATTTCAGAAACAGTTAATCTTCAAAGAGAAATCAGTTATCCGCAACATACATTCATCATTAATAGTGCCAAATGGAACTAAACTAAAATAATTAAATTTTAATAAAATGTATGAACCTCTTTACTTTGCCTCGTGATAGTGTACCCAGGTATAGAACGGCCTGTAACAGAAATGGCTCAAGCCACCGCCTCTAAGAGTTGAACATCATCCTCCTTCAGGCCTGAACATAAATACTTTCTTAAAGGGATGGGTCCGTATTTAAAGTCGGTTTACAGTTGTTTACAATAAAAGAAACCGAAAAAGTTGCGCAAATTGTTGGCTTTGGTTTATTGGTTTCAATTTCAATGCAATAATTTTGCCGCAATCACAGGGTAGCTAACAATAGTTCTCTTTGATTGAACAGGATGTAAACAATTCTGCTGGGATTGCGGAGACGATTATGTCTAAGCATTCACAAGGATGTTTGTTTAAGATTCTGCCAAGATTGTGGGTCGCAATCTTAGGAGATGGTGATGATTTTCCCAAGATTTGCCACAATTGTAGGAGATTACACGATACTGCGGCGATAACTGATTGATGATGATTTCGCTGTTAAGATTTAATGTAATGATGTCTTATTTGCAAGACATGTTCTAATCAAGGTCAATAATACTGTGAAGGTATAAACTATTTTTTTTTTAATCAAACATTTCTAGGTATGGAAATAAAATGTCTACATTATATATATATATTGGATTTTTTGTTCATCATTTTGTAGGAAAATAAGAAATTTGTGTAAAAAATGTATAACAAATCTTGGTTTTTCAACTGCAGCAAAGAAGCTACCCCTAGGGATTTTTATTTAGGTATTCAAAATCTACAACATTTCGTCTAAAAAATGAGTATGTATATGACTAGGTTATCAAAAGACATTTAGACTGCAAATAAAAAAACACCTTGCGAAATCGTTAAAATTACAGGGAAATTCATCCAAACCATCAGGGCAGCCCTAGCAAGTTCGACTCTCACTATAGGCCTACCGGTACTCTGTTCACAAAAATTAGGTGGTTTGAGGGGAAGATCTCCCACTACTTTTTTACTTATATATGACACAGCTGATTTATGCTTTAAATGGTAAACCTCAGCTGTTAAGCTATTATTTTAAAGGTAGGTTCGAGTGGACGGGATAGATTTCTTCCCCTAAAACAACCTAAATTTTTGTGAGCGGATTATAAAACATGTTAGTTTCTTTCAAAAGAGACTGTAAACTAGAGTGACTAACCATGCGGGCGATATCATGATACAGAGTCTCAACATGGGCGTTGGTTCTCAACAATTCCAAGCACTGACAGTAGGACTCCCAAAGAAACTTGACCCAGGGTGTTAGAATGGTGCGATCACTACGGTCCTGGGCATCTTCTCCACTAACAGCACTGTAACAAGGAAAAATCAATAAATTACTGTACATTAGTTTCTTAAGTGGATTTTATATAAAATTGTAAGTCCAGCAATAATTTGTTGCAAGTGGTGCAGATAAATAACTAATATTGTCAGGTCCGATTGACAAAGAGATAACACAGTGGGTTGTGTATGGTATCAACATTTATCAGATTGAGGTCTTTAAAAGGTAATAAGACATTTTATACCCAACAATATTTAATTAAAAAACTTGTTGGCTCTACCATGTATATACAGTAGGGGTCTGCGGTGCACCGAAAAAGTCGGTACGGTACAAGCTTAATTACCGTCATCGGTTCGGTACAGCATTTTACACGGTACAAATTCGGTTCGGGACAGCCTATTATAATAATAAATTACTTTCAGTTTATCCGAGCACATTAAAGTCTTATCAGAGGTTTGTTTACGGTCTTCATAATTTATTACTAGGGTGATGATGCAATAGAAACCCCATTAGCAGTCCCAAATCCATTAACATTTTATCACGACAATAATTGTTCTATTCAAGTACTTCCAAGAACTGTTGAGTTTTATCACTTTTATTTCTTTACGACTTTCCCAAATTCTATTTTATCATAAAAATAATAGTTTTATGATGACTGTTAAATTTTATCTCTAACTCAGTCAGTATTTTCGTGAATAATCAATTTGCCACTGGTCATTGCCTACTGCCACAAAACTGTTTATGGCTACATATTAAACTTGTAACTAATCTACAATCTCATTTTATAAGTTAAAATATTTGTTATAGATATTTTATCTTTCTATTGATGAAACCACAAGCATAGTTGTTGTTGTTTGCATGATTTTTTTTCGTTATGCAAGCCTACTCGGTCTCAAATTATGTCATTGTATGTTCTGTATCTTGTATTATAGGCCTATTGTTAGATGTGGCTGTTTAAGGCTTAAATGTTTTTTAGTTTCCTGTATTTTTTATTGTGTTGAAGGTACTTTATGCTAGGGGTGTGCGAGTACTCGAACCTTCGAGCTTTTTGGTCGAGCTTTTCATTATTCGGCTCGGCTCGAGGCATTTTGAAAAAGCTCGAAGTTCGAGCCGAGCTTTTAATACTAAGTCAAAACTAAAAAAAAACACTTAATTTGGGTCGTAATTGGAAACAATGTTATCACAATTCTACGTTGTTCAATCATTCGAGGTTTGATAAGCACGAACCTCAGCTCAGTCAAGACGCAATGATTATCGATCGTAATTTTGAGGAGATAGTAAAGAGACAAACTACCACCTATCGCGTTGTCTTTCTTAACACAGCTATTCGTATCGTAATATACAACGCAGTGCGAGTGCGTGATTGGCTCGTCGCTATGACGACACACGGTTGCCGTGACAACCTACAGTGCGCACTGAGCACTGCGCCTTGTGTGGGAGGGGAGATTATACCAACAAACAATTTCAGGAATTCTATTTTGGGACGGATGAAAGATAAGGAAGAAACAAAAAGTGGTCACGTGTGCAAATGTAGTGGGCGACACAATAAGGCTATAAACAAGTATCAATCGTCGTGTCGTTGTTCCTTGTTTGTTTACTTTTTCAGATTCCTTATCAAACGCCCCTATCTGCTATCTCTCTTTCTCTCTCTGCTCTCTCTAACAATGTACTGATTAAACAGATTGTGGTTGACGACTTTTCTACTTATAAGTTTCCCTGCGGTTATTTTAGTTCAATCAATCCCATAACCTTTCTAATGTTTATCAAAATAATTAATTATCTGTTTTGTATTTTATTTCCTTTAAACCAACCCCTATTTACCATCTGTATTTTATAGAATAAAATGTTTGTTTATAAAGTTTGACTGGCCACACAATTTTGTACCTATTTTATTTTGTATAAAGTAACAGTTACTTTGATGATTATTTAAATATCAATAAGTGGTGCGTGCTGTAATGAATGCTTTTTATTATCAAAATAAGTAATGTGTTGCGGCGCGTGATGCGCCAATGTTTTGGTAAATAATAAAAGATCTGACACTTTAAAAACGAACTATGAATTTATTGATGTATAAATGAACAAATGATATTAGTGGACTGTATAATTGAACTGTGATGAATAAATTGCTATAATGAACTAATGCGAATGTACTTTTGATGAACTAAACTAATGAAATACGTGGAGGGATCTGCCTCACACGTCCTATCCCAAGCTACGGTAAACGAACAATGTCGCTCGATAATACCCTGACAAAAGACTCCTCCCTCACTCAGTATGTGGTTACAGATTTCTAAGAACTGGTGATGAAGGGTCCGTCCTTTCGCAGAAGGACGATGTTTATGACTGTTTAACGCCGACAAGTGACATGAATAGCAGGAAGTACGTTAGAATTTAACAACACATGTGATATGAATTGGTTAACTATTTGCTTACAATATTACTTACACTAAGAACATAAATAAAACAATTAATAATCATGATACTAAACATAATGGATTATTAATTTTTGATAATACATGGGTCATTGAATACCATAATGTGATGTAGTTTCCTATTTGTAACTTGCAAATAATAATAATTGAGAGTTAATCCTGGAAAATGAAAAATAGTGAATGCATTCATAAGCCCTGTTGTCAAAACAGCAACGCGGGTGTAAGGGTTTATTGTTTCAGAGGCTAGGGTGTTTCAAGGACAAAGTGCTGGGCCTCCCGGCTCAGGGGGGGAGGGGTGGTGGTGAGACTGAGAGAGAATAGGGGGAGGAAACTGGTTTTGGCTATTTATTGATTAGTTCACCGACCCTTCTAGATAACAGAATTTAGTGACAGTGTTAAATCATCGTGTTCATTATTTCATTTCTTGTTTACTTTGTGTGTTATTCTATTAATTTTAGTGTTTTGGTCTATTTCCTCTATATGTCAATTATATATTTTTTAATATATAATTTTACTTTTTACTTTGTCTCTTCACCTTTTTGGATCCAAACCAATCATGTTCTTTTTGATTAATACGATTCATAAAACAAAAATATTTTGTGCATGGAAAACAACAAGAATAATCACGTGTTTTTATCTATATATCTAATTCCGTAAGCCCAAAATTTTACAACGAAATTGTGAGCGAACCGGAGGGCGTAGAAAGCTGGGAGGGGTCTCATTTTAAAGGTCTGGGCATGAAATTTTGGGGAAAATTATTCATTTTTCTTAATTATGCACCAAAAGGTTGTGACAGAATAAAATAATTCACATTTAAATAACATGGGAATCTAGGTCATGTTTGCTTTGTTTACATTAAAACATGTGGTTTAACTTTATTTAAAGCATATGGTAATATGTAATATGCACTGTAATATGTATACTAACCCGAGAGGTTGAACCTACCAATTGACTATATTAATTTAATTGCACGATCTGGAATGCCACCACACAAATTAGTTTTAAAAGTTGGTTCAATAGTGATGCTCATTAGAAATATGAAGCTAGGGTCTGGATTAGTTAATGGAGTACGATTGGTTGTGTTAGGTATTACTGGAAAAAGTGTAAAGTTAGTAGTAATTACTGGAGTAGGCAAAGGAAACGTATTTTCCATGCCAAAAATAATACTAATATCCACAGATCCTAATATGCCGTTTAAGTTTACAAGGAAAATTTTCACAAAAATTGGCATTTATTTGAAAAATTTATCTCCATGTATTTTATCTAAGTGAATTTGTCTATATTCAAAGAAATGTATATACATTTAATTAATAGTCATGAAGATTATCATTGAAAATTATCCTTAGTTGTATTATGATTAGAAAGTTTATACTATAAACACACCGCATGAAAAATCCTTTGTAATTTTTATTTTTAACAGAGCAGACCTCAAAATGCATTATGCAGGTATGTAATAACTATTATACATATTATAATATACAATAATGTTAAACGATAATCAAGGTAGGGTAACCCATGGGACTAATAATTTGTACAAAATAATTACTACAATATATACATAGGGGCTACTGCCCCTACAAGCCACTAGTATTTATTTATTTATACAAAATGGAATAAAATATTCATAGTAGTTACAATATAAATATTTAATCGACTTGCTAGTTGTTTTGTTGTCATTCAAGATAGCTCTGTTCTGTTATGAAAGACAATCTGATTGGCTCAGTCTGCACTGCATATCTCGTCAGGCCTTCAATCATATCCTTTTATTTCTTGCATCTTAATTTAGTTCAGTTCAGTTCTTATCGTGATTATCTACTATTTGATGTCTTGACAATTCTCAATGTTTTTAGACATATTAAAATAATATTGTGTTTATTTAAAAATTGACTGAACATTATTATTATTATTATGCACTTTTTGAAGAAAAGTGTTTAATAATTTATTTTTTTGATAATGTTCAGAATTCAGAATTATGTTTGAAATTCCAGATAGGGTTAGTTGCAAAACATTTTTTGCTGAAAATAAAATCATAACACTCTCTAATATTTTCATTTTTTACAATTTAGTTTCCGTTAAAGAGAATCTGAATAAATTTGTTCCTTGCAACTCAATCCATGGGTATATCACCAGACAATCAAAAGATTTATATATTCCTCAAGCCAGGCTATCAAAATTTATCAAAAGTTATAAATACTTGCAAATAAAACTATTTAATAAACTTCCAATATATTTTAGAAATCAGGAAAGTATTCATTTGTATAGGTCAAAATTATCAGATTGGCTTACAAGTCGTGCTTTTTATTCAGTTGATGAGTTTTTGCAGAATGAAGATTTTTTAACGCTTAAATGTGAGGCCAAGCAGTCTTGATGATTCTTTGTTCTTGTTATGGTCTTTTCCCTGTTAATTTTAAAGTTTTTATTATTACTGATGCTTTATCCTTTTAACTTTATTTTAACATTTTCTGTAGAATATTTAATATTTTATTTAACATATGTAACAAAACATGTTGACCTTGTCTATTGTAATGTTTATATTACCAAACGACAATAAAGATTTATTATTATTATTATTATTATAAGGTGACGCTAGGAAAAGCTCGGCTCGAAAAAGCTCGAGCTCGAAAATATTTTAAAAAGCTCGGCTCGAGGTTGAAAATCACTATTCGCACACCCCTACTTTATGCAATCTAAATCTTATGAACTAGATAGTGATTTTGATAGCCTCATTGTAACCTAATCAATTTATATATAGGCTCTCTCAAATAATTAGGTCAAGGCCTGGGTCTTTTGATTCTTTGGATTAGCTTTAAAATATACTAAAAAAATAAAAATAAAAAATAAAATTGGATTGAGCCTGAGATAAACTAATGATTGATATTGTGTTAACTTTGTAAATGAAAAGACAATAATCTTACTCTGTGATAATCCAAATTTTAGTTTAAAAAAAAACTTTGCAAGAGTTGTATCTATCTTATAACTAGTTTTGAAGCTGATAAAAAAAGATGCTCTTTGCCATTACTTCATCATAACCTCCAGTTTTTCATTGTCCGTTGTCTGCTGTGAACATCTGGCAACTACACTGTCTTCGTACTGAATGCTTTTATATGTGTTTAAAAATTTAAAAAAAAACAACTAGACATTGTGTTGGTTGGAAATAATTTACCAGTAGTGTGAAATTATCTTGTCAATAAATGTTTCAAACATGTTTATTCCTAAAAACTCTTATCCTATTTTAAAACCAGCTTTTATCATGGCTATTCAAAGTATCTCAGAGTAAAATAGGTAAAGCCTTTTTCTTAACTGTGATTTTTCTTGACACAATCCTCATAGTAGTAAAAAGTTTTGTTTTAATAATGTGTAGTACAGTAATTGTCGTTAAAAAACCATGAATGTAGGATACTATCCATTCTCATAGTAATGTTAATGTATTAAAGTTTAAATAATGGTTTCAATACAGTTCTGAACAGGAAATCGCAAAAATACGGGTAGCCGCGTACCGTACCGATATTGTACCGAGAACCGAGGTACAATATATTGTACCGTACAGAACCGTACCGACCTTAAATTTTCTGTACCGCAGACTCCTAATATACAGCGTGTATACTATTATTTTAAAGTGAAATTCCAGGTTTTTTCCAGGTTTTTCAATGTTTTTCGAGGTTCTCGCGGGAATGTTTCCCACGTGAACAATAGATTAATTCCCGCCTACATGTTTAGTTCCATTAAAACTATAACCAACTAAGACTTACAGCTTAGGTATACATCAATATACATCACATTTCTAATAGTTCAAAAGTTCAGTGAGCTAGTGTTGAAAAAATAATAATCCTTTTAAAAGTAGGCCTAATCATTTTCATTATCATCACTCCTTAAGGTCATGAAAACATTATCTCTCACGATAGCAGCAAAATCCTGAATATCTAAATCGTCATCACATTCTTCCATAATCATGGCAAAATCCTAGACATCTCCCGTGGTATGTAGTAGACACTATCGTCGTCTCCTGCGGTCACGGAAACGTCATCATTGTCATCCGCAATCGCGGCAAATCACGAAAACCTTCCGCAGCCGTACAGACATCATCATTGACACCCACGGTCAAAGACATTATCGTCGTAGTCTGCGATCGCGGCAAAATCATGAACTTCCTCCGCGGCTGTATAGACATTATCATCATCGTCTTTCGGAGTCACGGAAATGTGATCATCATCTTGAGATGATCATGAGATGATTTTTATTTATTTATTAACAAATATGTTTATTGTATTTGTTAAGATAGAAACAACCCGACTATGACATTACTGTTGAAACTAGTAGTTGTTCAATAAAATGAGTTTTAAAAAGGGTAGGCCCTACTTAGTTTTGAACAGCAGTTGGTTTGCATATTTTCAGCTATGCTGGCAACACTATTATATATAAACCTTCGCAAATACAGTATCTGACAGTTTCAAGCCAAACAAATGCTTCGCAATTAAGTGTCACCCGGATCGTGTTGGTCCTTATGTTAAATCCAATGATTAAACTAAAAAAAGCTTTATAGATCCTAAGGTAGGCCTATAGTTGAAAGTTACTTTCCACAATGGTTAAAAGTATTTAAAGTACTACCTCAACTTCACCATTTAACACTTTATTCGGGTTGACATTTTCATTATCAAAGGTGGTCTTGTCCTTTTTGTGATACTGAGAAAAAAGGACATTAATGCGTTACCAACAGACATACACACAAAAATAAAGAACTTAATTAGGGAATTTGCTACGTTTTAAGCATAACAAAACATATAAAATTAGGTAGTATTTGAATTCTTTGTCAATGTCATCAAATTTTATCATAACAATTTATATTTGCTTGGACCGAAGATGATCCGAAATGCTGGCTTACTATATGAAATGAAGTACTATAGACGATTTAGATTGGTAATTTATAATAAAAATTACCAAAGTAGGCCACGAACTATTGATACATAAACTTGAACGTTCCAGTTAGTTGTGGCTTGGATGTCACCCGTCGCGGCCGGTGAACTTACAAAAATGTCGTCCTTCTGTAAATGCCGGTATTATTCGTTATATGTGTTCGTGTGCGTGTTTGCGCTGTATGTCGTGAACTGTTATTTGTTTTTATTGCATCACACGGTGAGTAGGAACAGAAAGCGACACACTGGAAAAGCGAGTCTTTAGCATCATCCATAAACCGTAAACCTCTGTTACAATCACCCACTGCAGTTGTGATTTTTTACTTTACACTTTACACAACCGCCATTGAAGCGCCGTCAATGAGTGGAAACCTTGTTTGTAAGCTATTGGCGACGATCATTAATAAATTTAAGTTTCCCAGCCCTATACAACACTGATTCAACGTCTTCTTTCTGGTTATTAAAACTCAAGAACAATTTTATACACAAAGAATCTCTAGTTCTTGACCTGGATGATGCCTATTTATTTAATTTATTTTACGGTTACGGTAAACATAGCCTATTATTCCACTTGCGATTAATTAAATCCGTTATGTAAGAAACACGTTTTTAATCTCACTTGGTTGGGATTTGCCTTCAAAACGTGATCGGAAATGGTTGCGGTATTTGTAAACAACATTTGTAAACATAGCCTATCAGTGACAGCTAGAAAAAACAATCTTGATCCGAACAGCTGTTCCTTATTTCATAGATGATTAAATGTGATACAAATTGGACAAAAACTTGACAAAAATCGCACGAAACTGCATTTTTGAACGTCTGTAATTTTATTTACAAAGTAGTGAGGCCATATTTTAATGGCTAAAGACACTCTCGCCAATCCAAAAAATACATAAAAATGACTTGTATCTTGATAGGTACCGTACTCTCGTTTTCCTGGAGAAGATTGCGTAAAATGCCATCTTGAGTGTTATAGACAGACAGACAGAAATTTAGATGAGACTTGTTTCGGCTTCTTTAATGTATAAAACGTAAAAATTAACCTACAAATTTATGATTCTGAGCAATGTACAGACAAAACTCTAATTTTATTTATATAGATATATAGTTTATATACATATATAAACATTTGAACAAATAGTGTTTTTGGCCTCTGGGGACATCAAAATGAAAAAGTAAATCGGTCCCGGGCCTAGTTCTTACCATGAGACCTACGGTAATAGCCAAACTTCCCTATAGGAAGATTTGGTAGGAATCACTTCAAAATAAGGATTTATGGTTATCAGAACATTAATAGTTTGTCTAAAATTACATTTAAGACATTAGTTCAACCTTAGACAGTTTTATTAAGTGTCTCATCTACTTCAATGGCAGTATTTATTAGGGACAACTGGACGAGTAAACCATTATCATTGAACTTTATGAAAATATTACATTCTTCATAAAATTAGGGAATTGGCAATTTGAAAGCAATAGAGAAAAGAGCTTCTCTGATTAAAACTGGTCAGAAAATAAGTTTCACTACTTGTATATCAAAGCTTTAAAATGTTCAGTTTTTATTATTTTTTTAAGCTGATTATGTCTTCAACAGTCTTATTGTTTTGGTGGAACTAGTTACCTAAGCAAAATACTCTCAGGAGTTGCTAGATTGTCCAGGTCATCAATATCTATGACAGCTTGTTGACTTTGCTCTCTGGCAGCTTCTGTGCGATCTTCTGCAGTCTTCAGATAACCTCGTATAACATTTTCCAAAGATCCAACGTTGACCTGCAGGCAAATCAAGATTAATGTTTACTAGTTAATTTACAGATTTTTAAGGGTGTATAATACAGTTAGGCCTAACTGGATACTTAATATAAATAGCAAAATAAATAAGGAACTAAACCAGACCACTGCTTTTTTAATTACAAAAACTTATTGGACTATTTTCTTACTGATTGAAGACTTATGACATCTAATTCGGATTAAGATTTTTTTCATTGAGTAGGTAGGCCTAAGTAGGTTTAGGAAAACAACACGCTTTTAATGCAGTTAGATACTTTTGAGCTTCAACATTCACACATTTCTATCAATAAATTAATGATATTGGCCTTTGTAGCCTAGGACTGTAATATTAATTTTTTTTACACAAAATGTTTGTACCTATAAGAATTTGGAAAACCGTGTGAAATAAATACATTTAAATGTATAGCCTACTCTTTGGTCCAGCATTAATTGGTGACTTAAACCTATAGGTCTTCAGTTGTCAGTGAAGTAAACATTAGTAAACTTTATAGTCGCTGTCTCATTTAGATTTTTTTTGTGATTGAGAATACCTACGGTAAATCCGAAGGGTGGTCCCCCACTTGTGGATAATTTGAGTCAACTGTGGGCAATTTGGGTCAACTTCAACAACTTTTGTTAATGCCTTCACAAAACCTTCAGTATTCTAAATGTATTTCTAATAAATGGTATACTTTTCCTTTGACATTGATATTTAAAATATCTTAGCTCTAACATTAAAATCCTTCAACCAAAAAACACTTACAGATTGAAACATGTTTCTGTACTGGAACAATCCTTCTTTTGCAATATGTGACTTCTTGAGTTCCACACAGAGGTCCAAATACTTGAACATGATAGGCTCGAGAACACTCTCGCTCCAGTTGTAAGCCCATTTCTTGTTTTTGAAAACTTCATAAAGAGTGTCGAGGGCTCGAGCAGGTTTCCCAACTTCAATAAATTCTGGAAAAAAAATGGATAGAAAAAAATCTGTTCTTAAACAACATGGTTTTTTAGGTGAGGGTGTTTGTAACATAGAGAGCCTCTAGGAGGTTACTTAGGGGGTTATCCCTAATGGCCTATTTTTTAAATCACCTTTAAAGGACAATAAATCTAATGGGATGTTGCTTGAAGCCATAGGACTAATGTAAAAGTTGTAGCAAATTCATTTCCCTACGTCAAATTATAAATATATTTGATAAGATCCTAAAAATAAAAAAAGTTAACTTAGGCCTATAACATGTTTTCCTGAACGATTTTTTTCAAAATTAGTTATAAGAAAATATAAGAATTTTTCATCTGTAGGCCTAGTAATCAAATATTATAATTTCTGAAAGAAAATGAAAAGTTATTTCAGGAAATAAGGCCTTTTTACCTTTTGTTTATTAAATCACTGAGTTAAGGGTAGTCTGAGGTCCTATCTTTAAGTAATGTTAACTAAATGTCATTTTTCTCAGGAGTTAGAACATTTAAGATTACAGTTAGTGAAACTTGGAATACTTTTATATTAAGAAAATAACTAATAAACTAGTCACAGATGCAAGATTTTTCATTAAAAAAAATAATTATTATTTAATGGGTTTTTACTTATAGATTTTAAAAATATTTTTTTAATTTGTTTCAAAAATATATATATTTTTTTACAGGCTTCTACTAAAGATATGATAAAATACTAATGTCTGTGTTTGGAATAAGTCACTAAGACTACATGGTGAAAATTTCACAGCTGTATAGACCAGTCCTGAAACAAGTGACATTAAAGTTCTAAAAAGTAGAGTTGTGGAAATAGGTAAGAAAAGCCTCCAAGGGGCTAGACGAGTTTTACCTTTAAAACGTCACTGATGTTACGGAAAATATATTTGTTTAAGTTATAGCTACATTTCTAGATTAATAATTAAAAAATTAAGTTAAGTAGGCCTACCTATAAGTTATCAGTTTAACCTTCCAGAGGTCGCATCACGGAAGTAACCTCCAGGGATGTTTTATTTTTCGCGATTATATTATTTTGAGTGGTGTCGGCAGTGTGAGTGTCACTGTACCTCACGCACCTCATTTCTAGAATCGAGTGAAGGTCAAAACTCACCCCTACTATTTTATATTTGTTAGTTTTGTTAAGTTTTGTAAGAGGCTGGAAGTAGCTTCCGTGTGCGCCCTGCCGATTCTCGTACAGCCTGGAGGCAACTTCCGTGATGCGACCTCTAGTTTAGTGTGTGCGTTGATTATTGCGTGTAAACAATTACTGTAAATAATTATTTTTTTACGATTCATGGTATTATTTGGTAAGTATATAGTTTTTACAAGATGAGTGAAGAAGTTAAATTTCGAATTGCAATACTCTTAGCCATGCTGAAAGGGAGATTCACGAACGACGTATGTACAGAGTCATTTAGTATTAAGATACCCATTATGTTAAATTACTTAAAACATTAGGTATTGAGAGTGGTATCATCTAAAACCACATTATAGGACATTGTGTTAAAATTTAAATTTACTTCTTGAATATATTCTTGTAAAATATTTCTTCATATACTTTTATGTTAGAACATTTGATAGAATAATAGTTTAACTTAAGCCTATATTTATAAAATCAAAATTACGTTATTTTATAATTAAGAGTTCACTAAACACATTTTTAATGTTTAAAACTAAAAATAAAACCTAATTTGTGCACTAAAATACAAATTTTACTTCATAAATGTTTGTTTTTATTGACCTGGAAGTAACCTCCGGGTGCGCCCTCTCCCGTTTTGAAAACCAATGCGCCCTCTGAAAGGTTAAAGAAGAGATTCTGTGCTATAAAAAGGGCATAAAAAATAAAAAATTTAAAAAATGTAAAAGATTTCGACTTGGACTCCCTTTAAGTTATTGACATCAGGAAGTGAAACTTCAAATTTTTTACATTACAAAAACATAAGTTTTTAGGCATTTTCAAAAAAGCGTCAAATGTTTATTAGGCTAGTAGGCACTAGGCCTAACTCTATACAAATTCCACGATAGCCTAAGATACAAATTGTAGGGAATTTTTTGCTAACTTACGATAGGCCTACCACTCCTGTTTTTTCTGATATAGGCCTAATTCTTTTATTTTCCATCAGCCAATGAAAACAGCTGTGTTTACCAATTACACAATTTTCTGTCTTGCTAGTATAAAGTACCTAGTAAACTGCACTGTCACGATGTTTAAGCGAGTTTTTCAGGGGTTATGTCTACCGAAAGGGTACTTATTTAGGACCCAGACCCCAGATTAAACGTTCTAAAATCACTTTTAAACTAGGTATTCTAGGACATCAATACTACAACTTTATTAAAAAAATTTTTTGGCGCCGAGACCTCCTTTTATTATTAATTAAATATGTAAACAATAATCCCACCACACTAGGGGGCCCGTGGGAATTCGGGGTTTTGGGTGGGGGAGATAAAACGTGGTTAATCATGGGGAGAAAAGGGTAATTTGAGTGGTAAAAGGGTAATTTATAGGTAATTACCCAGCAAGAATGGGAAATTAGTCTGTATAAATGGATACCGGTACTGTCCTTTGCCGCCGACGACGACGAGCAGAGCCGGCAGAGACAGGAAGACCATCAGAATTGTATTGTACCATATGATATTAAATAAAAACAATAACAAAGTAAAAATAAAGTTGTTTGTTTATTTTATCCTATACTAGCAACAGTGCCCGTTGTGGTTAAATACAACGGTCTCTAGTAAAATAATGGTTATGAAATCCATACACCACTTTACTCACTAATATTAATGGTACAGTTTAAGTACATAACATTAGAATCACACATTTAACATAAGGAGCACACTTTAAACATAAATGCAAATTGTTAACAACAACATTTAACCAAAGAAAAATTAATTAAATAACAATATAACAATAAGCTGTTGAATTATTAACACATGTTTCGTATGTTTAGATTATGCATACTGGTAAACCAATTATTGCCATGTATAAAAATAATTGTTTTTTTCCGAGTCGGGTTAGCTCTTCTACCTGCCCGATTTTCATAATTTCGGTCTCAAAATAAAGCTATGCAAGCAGATATTTGTCATCAAGCATCATCATTAATTTATCTAATGTTTACTCGACGAAAGAATTTTTTTCTCTTTAATTAAAGATGTATTCCAGCAGTTCTAATTACATTATACATTTTGGTCTAAAAACCTTAAGTGAAATACCAGCTTTCATTTGAGCTATTGATTATTAAGATCGGACTACCTAAAGCACACTGCTGAATCACGAATAAACAATAAATACAATCGTTTTAGTACCTATCTGCAATCAATGATACGTAACTCTATTTTTATTTATGTTATTTTTTATGTCTTGGTCTTAAAATACTTCAAAGGCTTTCACTTGAGATATTGATATTTTTAATCAGTCAGGTTCAAGATTCTGTATCGCTCAATCAGAAAATATAAATTTGATTATATCTTGGATATGGAATTAGTTTTAGAATATAGTTTTAGATACATTTACTTAATTATAATTACGTTATTCTGTTTGTTTTGACCTAAGAACCTTCATTGAAATACCAGCTTCAATTTCATTAAAGCACGCAGCTAAATCACGACCAACACAAATTGTTCAAAAAAATTGTATTTATTATCGATTTATAGCCAAAGATCTTGCTTGCAACCTCAACTGTACTTTCATAACTATTTGCAAATGTTCACAAATTAGGCTATCCAATGACGTATTAATTAATGAAATCGGTTCAGTAGAACTGTAGATTTAATTGTACAAAGTTTAACAACAACATCTTTAATTCAGTATTTTCTCACTACTATAAACCTGGAGGTGTCTTAACGTTTTTGCAAATAACTTTGAAACGGCGAGGTAATCGACCAAAGTGGAAGGTGATATTCTGAAAGAGAATAAAATTTCCTACAAATTACTATTACGAATTTCTTGAATATACTTAATAAAGGCAGCCTAAAGTTGGCTACAAATATAAAAGTGATAATATAAACCTGGAATAAAAGGAGTTTTAAATGCATTATTTTTTATTTTTTATTTTTTTTACCTTAAATATCTAATAAAATCAAACTTTCATAATTATTTGCAAATCTACACAAATTAGGCTTTCCAACGACTCATTAAGTAACAAAATCGGTCCGGTAGAAGTCTAGATTTAGTTGTACAAAGTTTAACAAAAATATATCTAATTCAGTATTTTCTAACCACTATAAATTTGGAGATCACTTAGATTATTGCCAATATCTTTTAAATGGAGGGAAATTCGACCAAAGGGAATGTAATATTCTGAAAGAAAATAAAATTTACTACAAATAACTACTATGCTATTCTTGAAAGTACTTAATAAAGGCAGCCAAAAGCTGGCTACAAATAGAATCTTGAAAACAGAAACTTGAAAAACCCAGTTTTTAATGTATTTTTGTTATTTTTAACTTTTCACCACAAATATTTAATAAAATCAAAATTTTTTAATTATTTGCAAATCTACATGGGTTAGGCTTTCTAATGACCCATTAATTAACCAAATCGGTCCAGTAGAAGTCTAGATTTAGTTGTACAAAGTTTTAAAAAAATATCCCAAACTCAATATTTTCTCATTACTATAAATTCGGAGGTTGCTTAGCTTTTTTGCAAATAACTTTTGAATGGTGAGGAAATCGACCAAAGTGGAGGGTTCTATTCTGAAAGAGAATTAAATTTCCTACAAATTGATACCATGCACTTTTTGGAAATAATCAAAAATGGCAGCTAAAAGTCGCACCCAAATAAACAGTGTGAAAAACACCGTTTTCAATGTATTTCTTATGGAAAAAACGTTTTCTTTAATTTATCACCATAAATCATAACAAAAACAAACTTTCATAATTATTTGCAAATCTACACGACTTAAGCTTTCCAACGACCCATTAATTAATAAAATCGGTCCAGTAGAACTCTAGATTTAGTTGTACAAAGATTTTTAAAACTGAATTATATATAGAATAGATATTTAGTCAAAAAATGGCTTTAAAATATTTTAACAGGTCAATAAAAAGTGGTGTGGGATCTATCACCTGTGTGAATAGCCTATCCTTAAGTTACCTCTAAAAACGTGACGTTAAGTTATCAGTCATCTTTTGTTTGAATATTGATAGTTTTATTTATTCAAGTTCATTAAAAACGTACACCGATCTTAACCCTTTGAGTGCCAACGTCCGGGGAACCGGACGATTTAAAACGAGCCAAAAGTGCCGACGTCCGGCCGACCGGACGTTTTCAGAACGAGCCAAAAGTGCCAATGTCCGGCTGACCGGACGTTTCGTAATGATCGAACAGTTCTCATAACAACCGAATGGATACTCGGATTCTTTTAACCCATATATTAACATTGAGTCGAAAGTTACTAGATGCGATACATCAATTTTCGTTGGTCGAAATATCGAAAATTCGATTTTTACGAAATTTTAACCTAAAAATCGCCAGATCGCGCTCGGCATTTTTAGCGCGACCTTCGGGAAAAATCATCGGCATTTTTTGAGCGTTACTTTTATTTCTCGCCTGGCACTCTAAGGGTTAACTGAATTTTTAAATTCAAAACATCAATAAACCACATAAACAGATCATAACCTATTTCCATGCTTGTTTACATTGAAAATAAAAATATTTTAGCACCGATATATCGAACCGAATCAATATCGATCTTTCTGCAGACATATGTTACGAATACATAGAGAAAACAAACTCCTCAAGGAGTATGGAATTAATAATAATTAAATAAACATATCTATGGAATTAGACAAAACGAGTTGTTACTCGTTTATCGTGTTTGGAGTAGTTCATGTTGGTGACACTGGGTACCAAAAAAACCAAAAACTAGGTTTTTGGTGTCTACAAAATCTGATTATTAATAGGGTTATTTACTTGTTATTTAGTTTCATGGTTAGTATTTTCTTGTTCGGTTGTAAGTTATATCTGGGTAACGAGTTCTCTTATAAAAACCGATTTATGAAATCATACAGCAAGTTTGGTTGGTTTGGTTAGTTTAGAACAGTTTCATTTCATAATGAACCATTATTTCTTCCTCGTGAAATCATACAGCAAGTTTGGTTGATTTGGCTAGTTTAGAAAAGTTTCATTTCATAATCAATAATTATTTTTTCCTCTGGAAATCATACATCAAGTTTGGTTGGTTTGGCTAGTTTAGAACAGTTTCATTTCATAACGAACCATTATTTTTTCCTCGTGGAATCATACAGCAAGTTTGGTTGGTTTGGAGAGTTTCATTTCATAATCAACAATTATTTTTTTCTCAACAAGTGAGTGTTCATAAGATCTTGACATGTTGAAATCTTAACTGCAGTAGGCCTACTTTGCTATTGAAAACGGGATTTTACGAGAAATACAGAGGGAATTCAGGTTAAATTGAGAGAATTCTAGGGGTAATTGTGGTACGGTGACCTGTCACTGCAACTGCATTGCTATTGTTTGTGGTTTGTGGTAAAACAGATCAACAGGTGATGTAATTGTGAAGATTTCTGATTGGCTGATGGTTTCATTTGTGCAGTAATCTGATTGGCTGGTGGTTTCTTTGTTAGTTGTTTGTTTAGAACTGTCTCCATGACTCCATGTTGTTAGTTCAAAGTGAAGTAGTGACAAAGGAGGAGGCAAGTTAGCTCAAATTTGTGATTAATTTTCATTCTGATTGTGTCGGAAAATTGTGTTCGGACATTAGGCCTATGTAGAAAACGGGGTGATTCCTGGTGAAATATGTGGATACCTATCAATATGTATTTGTTGGACGAAGTGATTTTAATTTTCGTTGTAAGCTAGCCTAAGTTAACTTAGTTGCTGGTTGGCTATCAGCGAAGCAAAGATATGGTGCTCTCCGTGCATGCCGGTTTTGGTTATCTTTGAGTGAGACAGCAGTAAATTAGGCCTATACCTATGTCGAGTGCATATTCCTTGTTAATATTTCACATCGATGTAGTGAATCCAACATTCTTGAAGTGTGGAATTGTGTAAAATTGGTGTATAAGTATTGAGGTTTTGTAGGAACTGTTGTCAGGGTCGGTTTTATTAAATTCCAGTTAATATTTGGGACTGGATTGCTCTTCCCCCAATTATTATCCCCCAAAACTTCATTTTATACACTTTTTACACAATTTCACACTTCAGAAAGTGCTGGGGTCTGGGTCCTAAATTTTTACCCCCCCAAATTCCCACCGGCCCCCTAGTGAATTGGAATTATTGTTTATATATTTAATTACGCAGAGGATACGCGTCCGGTAACCAGACTTGGATTAGGCGTCCGGCAGTTACTGTACAATAGGTACAATACAATACAAATCATCTTTATTCATCAAGTATTTTACAGCAAATACATGAATTGCGTCACAGAAAGGAAAAGAGAAGCAAAAAGTTAGGTGTACAAGTATCCTAAATAATAGATTACTACCGGTAACATAAATCATAACATAACATATTTATAATCATTTAAATTCCAAAACTCTTCTATTGAATATAATGATTTAGATTGCAAATAGTTTTTCAGTGGTTTTTTAAAGCTACTGTAATTATGTCATAACCTAACCTAACCAACCAAACTTGCTGACAATGAAAAAAATCAAATGAAGGTTCAATTCTCTTCATAACATAAAATTATAAATGCCAAAAATGCTAACAAAAGATGTACAGTTAAGTAGAAATTACATTCAAAGCAAAATCTGTGAAAAAAGTTAAAGAAACCGATGGGTTTCGAACCAGTGACCTCTTGGATATCAGCCGAGCACTCTATCCACTACACCAGGAACAACGCTGGCCGAACATCGTATCATTGTGGTAATGGCGTTCCGGGACCCCACAACCCGGGTACGTCACTACCGGACGCCTAATCCATGTCTGGTTACCGGACGCGTTCCTCTGTGATTTAATTAATAATAAAAAGAGGTCTCGGCGCCAAAATATTCTTTAATTAAGTTGTAGTAATTGATGACCTATAATAGTTTAAAAAAGTGATTTTAGAACGTTTAAGCTGGGGTCTGGGTCCTAAATAAGTACAGTCATTTGAGAAAGTTGTAGTGTTGGTGTCTAGCACGATTACTAGAAAAATACCGGTATCGATCTTAAACATAAACAAATTAATACGTTTTTAGCCCGAAAATAAACATTACCTATTTAACATTGCTTAAATGGAACTGCCAAAACATATGTTCAATGCTATTAGTATAGGATTCGGGCCAGCAACGTCATTTTGTTTATGTTTATGATCCATACCGGTGGGGAGCGAGCTGGCGTAGTGGTTAGAGCGCGGGACTTCAGTCCCTGAGGTCCCGGGTTCGATCCCAGCCAAGTCACCAGGATTTTATCTAAGTGATAATGCCGCAACCCCTAGGTCTAGCCTGAAGTAATGTGAAAAACAATCCCAAGCTCGTGCCTAGCGTCCTTAGGACAAAAAAAAAAATGATCCATACCGGTATTTTTCTAGTATTCGTGGTGTCTAGGAACAGTTTAAACAGGCCAGTTAGGGTACTTGACTCATAGGTAAGTTAACCTGCCTGCTCTACTAAACGCGGCTTTAGTTCTAGTAGCACCCATCAGGAAAACCTAGTAAGGCCTAGGCCAACCATATGGAAAAATGCTTAGTCCTAGTTAAGAAAAATGTCTTTAAAAATTCAAGCTTAGAACCGGTAGACTTCTAAAGTTAACTTAATAACTTAGGCCTAATCTTAACACAATAATAATACTGACATGCAAGTCGAAACCCAGGATTCTATAAATATGTATTATATATATAGATGTTAAGGCCTACTGGTAGCCTTGGCGATTAAAAACATTAACCATATGCAGGGATCAGATTAAAATTGTCTTAGGCTAACTTACCGTTTGCTCTTTTGAGAGCATTTTCCGGGCGTTGCCCATAGCGTGCCATTGTATACTGTCAAACGCACTTTAGAGGCTTACAATCAATGATTTAAACTTCAAATGGGCCGAAATATTGCATTTATCCATAAAATAAACTACGCAACAGAACACGCGAGGTTACAGAATGGACGACTGCATTCATACAGGAAGTACGCAAACTTCTCAACTTCATTAACTTCATTTGCAATATGACGATACCACAGTAGAATAGGTATTTCCGGCAAAGTATTTCATGTAATATTCCTATCTTTTGGTATTAATTATAAAATAATAGTTTTGAACTGAACAGAACTTAATAATCATTTATGCTATCATATTTATAAAAATATTAGGCATCCCAAAAATTTGCAGAGGAATACTGTCACATATCCAAAATACTATTTTATAGGTTTTAAGAGAATTTTATTGTTTTCAATCCAGTGTCCCTAGGTTCGTGTTTTAGGCTTGTTATTTCAGTCAATTAAAACTTAGTTTAACATGGTTTAGTTTAACCAAATGAAACGATCTTGCCATAAACAATAACTCGTCCTGGGTGCACAATTTGTTTTTCAGGACTAATTTTGCCAACGTGTAATTTAGAGGATTCTGATTGACTATAACGAAGGTTTAGTACTTGAAAAATTTATTTTTATTCATAGAATAAAATTATAAATTCCTCAAATTCAATTTTATATTTTGTTATTATGAAATTAAACCGTCATAACCTAACCAAACCAACCAAACGTGCTGACAATGAAAAAATCTAGTGAAGGTTTATTAATCGAAAAAATAGTTCTGTTCATAAAATAAAATTATAATTGCCTATTTTATAATTTTTCATTATAAAATTAAACTATCTTAACCCAACCAAACTAACCAGACTTGCTAATAATGAAAAAAAATCAAATGAAGGTTAACCGAAAAAATATTTCTGTTCATAAAATAAAACTATAAATGGGTCAAATTCAATGTCATAATGTTTTACGGTAATTATAAAATTAAACCATCATAACCTAACCAAACCAACCAAACTTGTTGATAATTAAAAAAAATCCAATACTAAAAAATTGTGCTATGGATGGGATTCGAACCCGGGACCTTCGGTTCATCAGCCCAGCACTCTATCCACTACACCACCGAGGCCGTTGCCATAAACCGTATCGTCGCTGTAATGATGTTCCCTCAGCCAATCAGAAGCCTCAAAATAATACTGTAGGCAACACTAATCCTGAAATAAAAATTCAGCGTCCTGCATATCTAACCAAACAGTAAAGCACAAAGAAATAAAGAAATCAACCCTAAAATAAACAAAATTTAGTCGACACCAGCACCCGTGTCACCAACTTGAACTAGACACGAAAAACGAGCTTCACAATGCGATGGTGGTCTAGGTCACTCGACGTTTTGTACCCACGAGCACCTCAGCTTCCACATGCACAGCCGTGAAGATAGCTGTCACCTAGCAGTTGCGGCGGCTCCCCCACTCCTTCATCCTGGCCCCAAAGTAGATAGTCTGTTATTTATGAGAACAGACCACGAACCTCACCTTGCTCCTGATTGATTGCACTAATGTCCAACCTCCAATGGTTACTCCTTGTACAAGTATACAGGATTGTTCTTAATAAAACTAGGGTGGTCTGCTATTACACTTTAGACGCATAAATGAGCGAAGCATTATTTAAAGATTGTCAATGGCTAAAGCAGCTAACACCCTACAATATGTTCCCATTCAACAGATTCACCGTTTGTTTGCCCGATATTATTTAAGTTCTCAAGAATGACAAATTTATCTGATAGTTCATACTGTACCTTTGTAGTGAAACTGGCCATCCTGACTATTTGCTTGTACTTTGTAAATGGGCATAGCAGGATGTACTCGTGCAATCACCATTTGTTCCACAATCGTCAGGTCAGTTAATTCGTTCGGGACACTTGACACATCCATATTATTTAACGCCGTGAATTTAGTTGCATTTGAACGACAACGCGAACAAATCGATGATTGGTTTGAAGCTGTTAGTTGTTGGCGATGACAGTTAGTGCAAGTATAAAATTGTAGCGCATCTAATTCATGTTGGAATTGATTAGCTAACTGCCTATCATTATCAGATTTTTCCGCCACTGCTTCATCTGGTTCTTCTTGTTCACGACGCCACTATCTTACAATATTTGCATTATTGGTGCGACGACCAATATTACAACGTGGTCTTTGAGCCATGCTCAAAACGAATATAGCAAAACTGTTACTTCCATTGATAAACTAACTTTAACCTAGGATGAAAGTAAACATTGAAATGTAAACAAAACAGTTACAAACAATTAACATAAATGTTTATCTTATTTAAATAAAACAAGATAACCCCATATGTCATAAACCCAATATAATTTTTCTTTCAACTTACATTAAAATAACAAGCGAAATTGCGTGACCCGTAAAATAAAATCCAGAAGGAAATTTGCAAATATCTTTTACCAAAACATTGTGCTCAGTATTCTTTAGCTGTTGGCCAAATTTCATATCAATTGGCCAAGCCATTACATTCTGATGCTCTTACAAAGAAGTTACAAAGTGAGGGAAAGTGAGCTACGCTCGCTCCGCTCGCTTCGCTCAAAAATATGTAAATTTAAAAAAGTGAAGGATCTTTAGGAAAAATGCCGTTGAAAGGAACACAAATACAGTAGTTTATTGTTTCATCACACTATGACCAACATTCATAATTTTCTTGCCTTGACCTGTTTGATTGCACCAAATTTTATTACTGATTGTACTAGTATAGATGATTGATTTTAATAATAAAATATAATAATTGAAATTAAAGTGTAGTATGTTGGCGTAAAATGTCACCAAAACCAAAAAATAGTAAAATGTTAAAAAAAAACACATTCAAGGTTTTTTCTTACCATGACCAAGATTGATTGCACCAAATTTTATTACTGATTGCATAGATGATGGCTTTTAATAATAAAATATAATAATTGAGATCAAAGTGTAGGATGTTGGCGTAAAATGGCACCACAACCACGAAAATGGTCAAATAATGTGATACATTCACAAATTCTTCTTACCATGACCTTGATTATTGCACCAAATTTTATCATTGATTGTACTAGGATAGATGATTGCTTTTGCTTTTATTAACAAAATATAATAATTGAAATAAAAGTGTAGGATGTTGGCGTAAAATGGCACCAAAACCACGAAAATGGTTAAATAATAATATTATACATTCAAGATTTTTTCTTACCATGACCCCGAATGATTGCACCAAATTTTAATACTGATCGTTACTAGAATAGATGATTGCTTTTTAAAAAAAAGGTTAATTGAAATAAAAGTGTAGGATGTGAGCGAAAATGGCGTCGAAAACCACGAAAATGGTCAAATAATATTACATATTTAAGATTTTTTCTTACCTACACTTAAGATTAACATCCAACACTTTTATTTCAATTATTATATTTTATTAATAAAAGCAATCATCTATACTAGTACAATCAGTAATAAAATTTGCTGCAATCAATTTGTGTCATTGTAAGAAAAAATCTTGAATGAGTAATATTATTTAACCATTTTCGTGGTTTTGGTGCCATTTTACGCCAACATCCTACACTTTTATTTCAATTATTATATTTTTTTATTAAAACTAATCATCCACACTAGTACAATCAGTAATAACATTTGGTGCAATCAATCAAGGCCATGGTAAGAAGAATTTGTGGTGTCACTTTATTTGACCATTTTCGTAGTTTTGGTGACATTTTACGCCAAAACCCTACACTTTTATTTCAATTATTACATTGTTGTATTAAAACTAATCATCCATACTAGTACAATCAGTAATAAAATTTGGTGCAATCATTCGGGGTCGTGGTAAGAAAAAATCTTGAATGTATAATATTATTTAACCGTTTTCGTGGTTTTGGTGCCATTTTACGCCAACATCCTACACTTTTATTTCAATTATTATATTTTGTTAATAAAAGCAATCATCTATCCTAGTACAATCAATAATAAAATTTGGTGCAATCAATCAAGGTCATAGTAAGAAGAATTTGTGAATGTGTCACATTATTTGACCACTTTCGTGGTTTTGGTGCCATTTTACGCCAACATCCTACACTTTTATTTCAATTATTATGTTTTATTATTAAAAGCAATCATATATAGTAGTAAAATCAGTAATAAAATTTGGTGCAATCAATCGGGGTCATGGTAAGAAAAAATCTTGAATGTGTCACATTATTTGACCATTTTCGTGGTTTTCGACGCCATTTTCGCCAACATCCTACACTTTTATTCTTATTATTATATTTTATGGTAAAAAAGGTAAAAACATATTTCATATTAATCACATTATTTTGTATTTGCATAGTTTTTACCACCACCCCAAGATTACTTATATTTAAGTTTTTATATTATTTTATTAATGCATTTTAATAATTACAAAGTAATTCTCATAATTATATAGGTTATAACCCTTAAAGCGTAGAGTTTTAGAAATATAAAGTACGGGAATTGGAGGTCTACTTGTGCAAAGCACTGACTACTTTGTAGGGGTAAACTCAAATATCTGGTGGAGGGGGAAACTTTGGAGGGTTGACAGCTGGTGATAGCTACGGTGGGGCACACGGAAGGGACTAAGGCTAAGATGTGGTGACGTCATATCTCTAGTAGCTAATGGTGTGACGTCAAACCGCCGCTTATTTCGGCTGCCGCTAGTAGCGCTGTTAGTCATTGTTCTGTTGTCATCAGTGTTGCCACTTTTAGGGTAATTACCCTTTTTTAGGGTAATTTACTGATCTTAGGGTAAAGTTTAGGGTAATGGTAGATTTAGGGTAATTTTAGGGTAAAACTAAAAGTTAGCATTACAATGGAAATTTTACTAAAACATGAAAAAAAACTTCAAAATTTGGCAAAAAACTTTCTTTACATACTATGGCCAAGTCATCATATTCGATTCAACCAGCTTAAATCTATTGCTATGATGGATTTTTCATAATAAGTTATCCTAATCGATCTTATCAATAGTTGTGAATTATCTGTTTTAGAATGTTGGCGATTCTATAACACAGCAACACAGGCCTAATAAAATATGAAATACTATTCATACTGGATTTGATATTTAATTATGTGATTAAATTGAATTAAACTGGATTAT